TTTACTATTCTCTGTCTCAGAGCACGTAGGTTAACAGTGTGCCACTAACATAGCACATAAGTCATGCTTACTGTTTAAGGCTATTTAGGGGGTCGAATGTGGTGACAAGCATGAAGTATGCAGCAAGACTCTGTCACCTAACAGGTGCAATATTGAACCATTTTAGGAATATTTATATAGTGTAATAGTTATATAACATGGTCAAAGAATATATTTTATACAGTAATGCTTTCTACAGCAGTAGATAACTATTTGGAAGTTGTAGTGTTGCCGAGGTTGCTAGGTTTGAGATCAAGTTATCTAATGAATTTTATTTGTTACGGATTCTTTCCCTTTCCTTCCCTGTGCATGACAAGCTGTGTAGAGGTGGAACATCTGCAACAGAGGACACGAGAGCTTCGTGGAAGCGGGAGTGGCTGTCAGTCCCTGCCTGGGCTCCTTGCTTTGCTACTGGGGCTCACTGTTCCAGGGACTTTTGGGACAGCAATGCATAGCTGCCTGTTTCAATTCTGCATTTTCCACATGGTCTCACAGGCACTTGGGTAGAGGTGAGGCCAGTACCTAGGTTCCTGGCACTGAAGTCACCTTTTTAAAATTTTATTTTAAAAATAAAAGGAGGAAAACATTAACAGACAGACAACCTTTTACAAAATAGCGAAAGAACAGTACAGACAATACAGAGTTACAAACAAAGTGGTAGGGAATTAACAATGATGGTTGTATTACATATTGATATCTTCAAAGTGGCTTCTCATGAAAACAGATATAGACATGCAATACTGGTCAACCAAAGACTCATTGACAGTTTCTTTCAGCATAGAAATAGAAGACAGAAGAGCAGCCATGTTAACTATCCTGTATATACATACATACAAAATTTCTCCTTCTTTCCCTTCTCTTTTCCCACATCCCAGTTGCCCTTTACTCTTGAGCGTTTTCCTATCATTTCATAATGAAGTCACTTTTTGGTTGTCAAAGTGCTCTGCAGTGTCCACTCCCGACCTGATAATGGGTGCTATTGGTCTTCTTCCTTTTTTTTTCCCCCCTTTGGTTTTGTTTTTTTTCCAGTACCGGGAATCGAACTCATGACCTTGCGCTTGCCAGGCAGGCGCTGTGCCACTGAGCTAAATCCCCAGCCCGCTGGTCTTCTTCCTAATGGAGTCAGGGCCTGTTTTCCTTGAAGTGGCAGCCTTTCCCACCCTGGATCCCAGGGCCTGACGAAGCTTCTGACTCTATTCCTGTTTACCAGTGGCCCCTCTTAATGTTATAGCTGCTGAAAGGGACAGGTAGACACAGTGCCCAAGTGTAAAACTGGAACAGTCATGGTTAGCCTCTCCAATTGCAGCCTCAGTGACAGTGAATGTTCATATATCTGTAGGTTTGGCTAGTGTGCATGTCCAGGCACTTGGAAATAAATGTGTTCATTGCTGTAGAATTTCCCTTCCCTATGTGGGGTCAGTGTGAGATGGCAATGACCTGTTGTAGTTTTCATGCTGATGGAGCCAGTAGACTTGGTTAGCAAAAGCACTGGTTACTGATTGCTTTTTAAAAATTTTTATTTTTATTAGTACGTATTTGTAGTACATAATGATGACCATCATTATGTGAGCAGTTGGCACATGTATGTAACATATTTTAGTTCTTCTTACATCCTCTTCTCATACCTTACCTTCCCCCTCCCCTCTCCCTCTATCTTTTGGTTCTCTTCCCATTTGCAAAAGATCTATCTCCATTTCCTATTATCTATCTTTTATTTTGCTCTTGATTTATAATTTGGGTTTCTCATTGACTATTCTTTTTTTTTTTTTGGTAACGGAAATCGAACTCAGGACCTTGTGCTTGCCAGGCAGGTGCTTGTGCTGCTGAGCTATATCCCAGGCTCTCACTGACTATTAAAGAGTTGCCAAACTTCTGTCTTCTGTTTTTTTCTGGAATGACATAGCCCTTTTCTACAGATTTCAACGATTTAGGGTTGTGGGTTGTGGGTTATGACAGTAAAAAAGATGTGTTGGAAAGCCTTTTATTAAAACAGAATATGAGACATTATTATGCAAATAAGCCTATATTTTTTTTTCTGCAAGAAAAGTTTGGTGGCATGTTAGGCGGAGCTAGTGCTTTAAGATTTATGGCCTTTTATTTCTGCTTTGTGTTAGACTCTTCATTCTCCCTAGAGCATCTCAAGTGGAAACACACATGGGCCATGGTTTTATGTTTTCCTACATAATATATCTTGGTGTCTCTGTGATCCTTGTAAGATTAATGGTTCTCAAAAGACATGTTTTTTTCAGGGGTGGGGTTTCTAGGGGTGGAACCCAGGGCCTCACATGTGCTAAGCACGTGCTCTACCACTGAGCTACACCCCAGCCCAAGGTGAACAGCTCTCTACAGGGAACTGCACCCCTGCCCCAAGCTCCTGAACTAAACACAGAGCCAAAGAACTTTATTTCTGCTTAGTGTAGCTTTTTTCTTCAATAATTTCATGATAAATTGTTTATCACAGAATTCTTTCTGCTATGAAATCACTGAATATTTACAAGTATAGAGACTATGGTGTTTAGTTTAATGATGACAATAATAAAATACCTGTCAGTGAAAAATAATTAGTGTAAGAAGAGGTTCTTTTAACATTGTTGTTCTGGGAGCAGGTTGTTGGATCAACTGATCTCCCAGTTCCATCTGTAGAGGGTCATCTACAGCAGGGCGCCAGGAGTCTGTAGTTGGCCTGGTGACTCCCCATTTTGTTCCCACTCCTTTTTCATCACACCATTTAGCGACACAGAGCTGCTTATGCAAAATATCAGTGAATGACACTGACTTTTGTTGTGGAGCTGTTACAGGTGATAAAGTACAAGATGGAATGTTAGTGAATGTCCCATTTGGCTTATAGGTCTATGTAAAGTCCCTGCAGTGGGTGAGAAAGCCAGCCATTGTTGTGGAAGTTGGGCTGGTTTTTTTTTTTGTTTGTTTGTTTGTTTTTGTTTTCTTCCAGCACCAGGAATTGAACTCACGACCTTGTACTTGCCAGGCAGGTGCTGTGCTGCTGAGCTAAATCCCCAACCCGGGGCTGGTTTTGAGAGACAAACAGAAGAGTTTTGAAAATGTACAAGGGGCTTATATGCCCACTGTTGTTATTTTTGCTTTTGGCTTACACTTTTAATAGACACCAAATGGCTGGCTGACACCGTGCTGGGAACTTGTATTTCATTGCTAAAGCTCATGATGACCCTGAAGGTGTGATAGAGCTAAAGCTAACCACCTCAATCATTTGGATGAACTGCTGGATGAAAGAGCCAGTATAGGGATTTACAGAGAGCAGTGGGAAAAAGAAAAACCATGCTTGTGTCCCAAACTTTAGTTCTTGCTCACTTAACATTTGGCACAAAACACTATACAGTAGTTAAAAGTACATGTACCTTCCTGTAAAAATGTATAAATAATTTTGCTTTGTAGATGCAGACAGGCAATGTGAGTTGGAGAAACCTATAAATCTGTAACTATTCCATCATGGAAGTACCCAGGGCCATGGTGAGATTTAGGGATGACACCATTCAATGCATGGATCCCTACAGTGTACCTGTGTCTACTCTCTGAGGGACAGGACTTAGGATCAGTCTTCATAAGTATTTTATTGTAGCTGATGGCGATCACCACAATGCTCTCCGGCTCTATAGCCCTATTCCAGCCAGGGGGCAGTATTTGTCTTTCTCTTGCTCCAAGGATGCTCAGGTCAAGTCTGGTGCTGAGCTCTGCTGTGAACTGTGAAACATGTGGCAAGGAATTCATTAATGACAATAAGGTACTGGAGTCGGCAGATTGTTTATTTTTTCTCCCACAAGTAAGTAGATTCTTCATAATCCTGGTAATAACAACAATCACAAACATTAATGCCCCACCTTGGATTTTCTTCTTCAGTCTCATGCCCATCCTACAGGAGAAGTAATTTTAGTGTCCCTATTTGAGACACAAGGAAAAAGGTTGAAAGAAGTGAAGTGCCTGGTTTAAGTTTCCATAGCTAGTGCACAGCAGGGCTGGAATGCCACTGCTTCTCATGGTATGCTAGCAGACGTGTGTGAGTGGAAAACAAGGCAGTTTGGGCTATCAGGTAATGATCCAGATCTTCAGGATAACATGTAGGCAACATATCATAACCAGAACCTGTGTAATGGTGGGTCTGGAACCTGAAAAACAAGGTAGTTGCTTCCCAGGGAAGGAATTCATTCCATTTTTGGGCTAGTTTCCCAAGTTCCTTAGCCCCAAGGGCTTCCAAGGCCTGGGACTTAAGTCTGGGAGACGTGACAAAGGATGTGCTCCCAAGGGTGCCTGCTCTTTGAAGGCAGAGCCAAATCTTGTCCTGTTTGGTGCTCTGCTTCCACCACCTGGAGCCAGACCTGTGGGGGCATGGGTTAGTTGCAGGGAGGGAGGGATGGAGGGAGAGAAGGAAGAAGGAATGAAAGGAAGCAAATTTGTATGATGGATGTTTGGATCAAAGGATGGATTGAGGAGGTTGGTCTGGGAGAGGAGACATAAGTGTTTCTAGCTTTTGCACAAGGTGCCATTATTGGAAGCTCATGACTTCCTGCTGTTTCCCGTGTACTCTCCTTGCACACAGATCTCATTCATAGGTTTATTTAATACCCATTGTCAACCACTAACCCGAATGATACTGGGGTTAAACAAAGAACATATGGTGTTCCAGAGAGGGAGTGTGTAATCTAATATGTTGCTCTAGCCAGTGATCTCGTTGCTTGTTTCTCATAGAGGACATGGCCATCCTCTAGTGCAGAGGGTGCTCCAGGAGCAAGGGCAACGTCTACCAGCCAAGTGTTAGGTTTTTGTATTTACCGCAAGGAATGAAGATTTTATGAGGGTCTTCACTTTTCTGTGCCAGAATTTTGCTTTTACCTCTTTCCTACCTTCCAATGAAGCATTTAAGTTTCAGTAGTAGTTCTTTAAAGGAATGTCATACTGTGAAGAATGACTCTAACTTCCTTTTTAACCAGGATTGACCGGAAGATGTCAAGCGCTCATACAAACTACAAACTAGATGAGGCACAGGCTATAATGAGTGAGCTCCGCACCATCAAGAAAGCCATTTGTACAGGCGAGAAGGAGCGGCGGGACCTGATGCAGGTGAAGTCTGATCCCCCATCCACCCACCTGCCTGTTAGCCTTGCTGATTGTCTATTTAAAGCTTATATATAATATTATGCTTTTTAATGCTATACACATACTGTGTTTAAGTAAGTGTATTAATTTCCTGGGGCTGTTATAACAGAGTACCACAAACAGAGTGGCTTTAAACAATAGAAATTGACTCTCCCAGTTCTAGAGGGCAAAAGTCCACAATTCAGATATTGCCAGAGCTGCCCTCCCTCTGAAGGTTCGAGGAGGGCTGCCACTGGTGGTGGTGATTCCTTCCTAGCCTCTTAGCTTCTGCAGCCCCAGGTGTTCTTGGTCTTCCTTGGCATGTAGACATATCACTCCAATCTCTGCCTCTGCTGTCATGGGGGCCTTTTCCCTGGTTCTCTGTCTTTAGATTTCTTCTTCCTGTCAGGGTACCAGACAGTGGATTAGTGCCCACCCATCCAATATGAGCTCATTAACTAGCAGATTCACAGAGTCCAGGCATCAGGATTTAAGCGTATCTTTTGGTGGAGACACAGTTAACCTACAGCAATGGGTGATAAAATTCATGTTGTTAATAATCAAAATGATTCAAAACGTCTATGGTAGGAAGTCTTGCTATCACCGCACCTTCCCACCTCCAATAACTATTTTTATTCCTTTTTTGAATAACCTTCCAGTGTTTATGGAGTTACAAAAAATGTGAATGTTCACTCGAAGGCCTTTGCATAAAGCTAGGACTAGGCTACTCTTCTGTTGTAGCTTCTTCATGTGACAGTAAAATCCTGTACCTTTGCCATTCTCTCTTCCCAAAGAGTTTCTTTATTCTTTGATATAGTTGCATAATGTTTTACCATGTGGATATATTTGAATTATATAGCTAGCATCATTGTAGCTTTTTATTGCTCTATGCTTCTTTGCTTCTCGAACTCCTGTGATTTCAATTAGTTTTAGAAAAAGTTGAACTTTTGCAAATGGAGACATGCTGATCTTTCCCTTTGAGGCTGGAATGTGTTCATTGCTTTCTGTTACAGCATTTATTTTCTTGCTTCATACCTTAAGGGAACACATAGTACCTGGTAGGCATTTGTTCAGATTCTGTAGAATGTAAGACTCAGAGGACATATGAGATAAAGCTCAGACTTAGAGACAAAATGTGACAGATGTGCAAATAGCTGCTACCTTGTTTGGCAGTGTGTCCTAAGGTCAAGGCCATGAGAGACTTGTGGAGAATTTCCATAGTGCTCCTTAAAATGCAGTTTACCAGGTTTAATCTCAGAGCCACTACGTTAGAATTCCTGGAGGTAAAGGTCAGGAATCTGTATTTTTAGATGAAGCAGGTGGCAGTCAGTGGCAGAGATAAGGAGGATGTGCCCCGTGAAGTCAAGTGGGACTCCCCACTCTGGCCCTGGTGAAGACACAGTGTGCAGCCTGGGAGAACCCAGTTGTCTCACTTGGCTTCCCCATCATAGAAGGAGTAGACACAATTTTAGGGGGATCTTCAGGCCTCAGTATCTTCTTTGAGTTCTCTACAGACTCTCCAGCTGTGAGAAGCTCGAGGGAGAGGCCTGGGCAAAGTCCTTGCCCAACAAAATCAGTTAAGTTGTTTTGTCTTCCTCATATGAACTTAACATGACTGGTCTTTTCCAAGAAGCATTTGTCTCAATTTCAAGCCAGTTATGTGAGTTCTGCTTACTTGTACATTCCTGATCTGGTGTGTGTAGCAGTGCTGAATGTGAACAGGTTCACAAGTCTAAAAGAAATGCTAAAAAGTCAGATTTCTCTTAAACTTCCACACAAAGGGGTGCCATGTGCCAGAATATATACTTACTCTAGCTATTTTTTTTTAAATAGCAACATGAAATCACTTTGTAGAATTATTTTTTGCTTGACTGCATAGAATTATGACTGAAACATCAGGCAATGAAAATAACATAGGCATCATCTGGTAGCTGTTTTCTTTTTGTGTTGTTTTCTTTATTTTTGGTGCTGGGGATTGAATCCAGGTCCTTTGCACTGAGGTACATCCCCAGCCCTTTTTATTTTATATTTTGAGACAAGGTCTTGCAGTAGCAGGTTTCATCTTCAGTGGTTTTTATATAAAAATCCCACAGAGGCAAATATCTCTCTGACTCACTTACAAAGAGCATTTTGGATAGGAATGTACATTTTTTTCCTGAGGAAACATGAAGGTTTAAGAAACAGTAAAAGTGATGGCATAACTTGTCTCTTTTATTCTTGTGCTACCAGGAAGACTTAATTGCTATGTGATGTAAATGAGTAAAAATTTTATTAAAGGTGTATGTGGTACAGATCATTATTTTTAAATGTAATGAGAATGGGAAGTTGTGTGTGTGTGTGTGTGTGTGTGTGTGTGTGTGTGTGTGTACAGGAAGCTCTCCAGTCATAAAGCTGCAGACCTCAATCAACCTGGCAGGGATGGGAAACATTGCCATCTGTATTCAAAGAGCTTGTCTCCTCTTGCAGAGCCTGGCCAAACTGACGGATAGCTTCAAGAATAGCTGCTCCCTTGGTGACTTCCTCCCTGATTTACCTTCCAATGCCGGTGCACTTGGTGATTCAGGGGCAGCACATCACTTCTGCGATGCTGGCTCCCAGACTGAAGCCATAGGGGAGGTATGTGCATCCACTGTGCCCAAAGGGAAGAGTTGGTTACGGTGTGTGACCCTCACTCATTCAGTTGAATTTTCTATTTTCACTTCAGAAATACGTATTTTGGCTTTTGTGCTATTCAGTTTGAAAAAAAAAGAATAGTGTTTCTCCTATCCGGCCATTCTTATTCTTTTAAAAGAATGGCAGGAAATGGAATTAAAAGAAACTCTGAAGCTTAGGAGAATTTCATCATGCCCCTTTTGATAACTAGTGAAACCTTGAGTTAGCCACAAAGCAAAGTCAAGAGAATCATCATTTGAGGCCAGGTAATGAATAGTCAGAGACACACTATTGTAATATTATTGAGCAAAATTGGAGACCAAGTTGTAACCAAAGAGAAAACAGTTTGGAGGGCTTTTTTAGTTCAGGGCTTACTATGTAAAGATGAGGTATCAAAGGAGTGCATGATGTCTCCCAAACTAAAAAAAAAAAAAGGAAAAGAGGAAGAAGGGAAACTTAAATTGATGGAAAATTCTGGGTTTTAAGTAACTAGCTAATATTTAAAACAATTGGAAAACTGCCTTTCTGAGGGGAGTATATTATAAATTTTGACTCTTTATTTCCTAAATATCCTGTTTTCAATTTTATTCTCATTGTTGTTAGAAGTGCACTTGGACATTTCTGACCAGGCATCTTCTTTGGTTTAAAGAATATGGTCACCATCTGTAACGCACAGAGAAGAATCTGTGAGTTCAATATTTGGCATTTTTGCCTGAAGATTTTGGAGTATAGGAAGGAAGCAAGTACAGGACTCATTAGATTCTGGGAGTGATTCCTTGCTATTTATCATAAGGTTAGATTTATAATTTAGTGCTTGTAACTCTTCTGAGAGGAACAGGTAAGGTCAGAGGTTCTCTACTGGCTTCAGTGAGCCATTCTAAAAATGTCAGGGGGAGATGGTGGCTGGCCCCGTTACTGTAGCCATGAGCTGTCATGGCTAGGAGGCCCCCACTGGGACTGGTTCTGGGTTGGAGGCTGGTATCTTAGTCTAACCAGTTTCTTGTTTTGTGTGTTACTTTCAGTATAATCAGTGTGAAAATATTTTAGTGCAACTACTAAATATTAGTTGACCATTTCAAGGATCACTCTGAGGTGATATTCCATAATTCCAGACTTAATGAGTCCTTGCTTTCTTTCCTTTTAACTTTTGATTGTCGTTTCTATGCCTTGCAACCTTGATAGGCCTCCTCTAGCTCCTCCCTCAGGCAATTAGTCCATTTTCAGCTCTTGGGACTTCTTAGTAGAGCATCATTATAGTCATCCCTTGGGATCTGCTGGGTACTGATTTCAGGAACCCCTCAAATACCAGAATTCCTGGTTGTTTAAATCCCTTACGTAAAATGATGCAGCCTACATACTTCATCTGTAGACTTCAATTCATCTTTCAATTACTTATAATACCTAATGCTATGTAAATTGTTGATATATTGTATAGTTTAGGGAAAAATGCCAGGAAAAAAATCTATACCTGTTCAATATGGGCAGAGCCACCATGAACTAAAAACATTTTGGTTCCAGAACTGTGGGACTGTATTTCGGATCTATTGGAGAATTAGAGAGCATATGGCATTAAATGCGATGAACTTTTTTGCCTTTGTTTCAACTTACACTCTGTAATTTTGTATTTCTTTTAAAAGTTATTTTGTTCCAGCTTTTGGAATTACAGTATACAGTAGATGAATATGCTTCTCCTGTTTAAAAATTCAAAACAAAACAAAAACACCATACCAACTTTCACGAAAGCAATTGTCTTCCCAACCTAACTCCCAACCTTCCCCACCTGGAGGGGGCAGCAGAGTATCGTTTGGAATGTTTCCTTCTAGGTCTTTGAAAAATTGAAATTGAAAGAAAAAATAAAAGAATATTCTTCATTGTTGCTGAAAGTTCAAATGGATTTTATATTTTTGAAAATATTGTTAATATGTGTTTCCTTTCTTTTTTCCTTTTTTTGCTCTTGTGCTCTGGAAAGTTTGTCTTTGATGATAAAACAAGACTTGTAGACCGAGTCAGACTTAATTGGCAGTATGAAGAAGCCCGAAAGAGGTAAGAAGCATGCTTTCCCAATCTCACATTCTGCTCACTTACTTTGTCCCATGGAAAAAGGTTCAGCATAGCTCCAATGTGTGGTTGTCCACATATTATTGCAGAATAATATCTGATAGAATATAAGATAGTCTTCATTTGAAGTAGCTTCTTACTGCATATATTGTTTACTTTTCTCTCATTGCTGAGACAAAATACCCAATGCCTGAAATTAAGGAAGGAAAAGTTTATTTAGCTCATAGTTTGTGGAGGTTTCAGTCCATACTCGGCTGGCTCCAAGGCAGGGTGGCGTGGCACAGGGGCAACAGTTCATGGTGGCAGAACACAGCGAAAGCAGCAAGAGCGAAAAGAGGAGGAGCAGGAGAGCAAACTCTTTCTGTCCCTTATATTGTATATAGGCTACCTGCCCTAGGGCGAGTGTAGCACTCACACCCATAATCCAAGCTTTGGACCATGAATCAATCACAAATTTTAGAAGCCTGTCCCATGACTGCATGAGGCTTTGGGGGGACATCTAGACACAAATCATAACACTGTACACAGCAAACTTTTAAGTGCATATTTGAATATTAAATTCTCAACATTGCAGACAGTTTTAAAAATGTGATTCAGTGTGCATAAAGACCTTTCCAACTTTCTTTGTCAGACCAGCTGGTGTAGAACCCTTTCCACCCTCCCTCCCCCAACCAACATATCAAGCCCTCAGACCAGCAGAAGCAAAGCCATCCTGTCTCCATGTATGTGGCTCCAAATGCCATAGATCAATGCATACAGCCACACATGTTGGTTTAAAAGCTATTTTAGTCGGTATTGGGTCAGCAGGTGCTACAAATGCATTCTTGATTTCATTTTGCTGGAAAGAAGTGACATTGTTTATGTTGACCTACAGTGGGACTCCTTTGCCTTCCATAAACTGCTTTGTCCAAGTCTGTGCACTGGGTTTCTCTTTGCCACCTCCCTCCCTCCCATCTTAACTGGATCACTCTCAGGGGCTTCCGAAATCCTTGCTGGCACAGTATTTCTGGCACAGTATTTTCAGTGTGGCATATTTCTCCTTGGGTGCTCAGGGCCCCAATTTCCAACATTCTAACCCTGCCCAGGCTTTCTTGTTGTCCTTTTAGAGACTTTATGTTTACTGTACCTTCTAGGAAATCTTAAGACCAATCACTTCAAAATATATGCTTCTGAAATGTTTGAAGCATAGCTTTTATAAAGTTTCCTTAGTCATGCATGAAATATTATCTGATTATCTTGAGGAAAAAAAGAGCAGAGTGCTGGTGGGTTAAAGAAGTCCTCCTTTCCAGATAGTAAGCAGTTGGGCCTACTCAGTGTACTCTGTGGTCCAGGGCATCTGGAAATCCACTCTGTTGGCTTTATAAAATGTGTAAAAGTAGAAACAAAAGTAAACTCTTACTTGCTACCACAAAACTAAGTTCAACTGCCATGGGCCTTCTGTGCGCTAGGAGGCATGCACCCAACTCTTCTTGGATTTTCCGACTTGACTCGTGGTGGGCTTTATGTCTCCCCACAGAATGCTGCCAAGTTCACTGACTGTTACTGGATCTCTCTGTGACCACATTCTTCATTTCTCATGCATTCCTTCTGTGCAGCTTCTGACTGTCCTCTGCTCACTCAGGCCTGTTTCTCGGTGGAACTTAAAGTGTGGGTGCTGGAATTTGCTGTGCTGTTTTAAACACAGAAAATAGAGCACTGCTACACTTAGGACTATAATTGTTTTGTGTGTTGTTGTGACATTTACCAAACATAGCAAGTGATTTCTTTGTTCTCTAGAAATGGTGTCAGTAACACAGTGAGTAAGTAACCCTCTAAATGTTGGGACAATACATTTTGGGTGAAAAGTTGAGCATTTAAAAATATTTGGAAGGAAGTCACTGCATTTCATGATTCCTTTTGAATGAAAGTATTATTTCCAGATCACCAGAAGCTTGTTAGGAAATGCACTGCAGTTAGAGGAGGGTTCTGGCCCCACTGTTTCAACCTTAGTGGTGTCTTAGAATTGTCTTTCTGGCTTCCCTGGAACATTTAAGAATCACCCATGTGGTTTAGAGTCAGCCAAGGGTGGCTGGCCCAGGTGCCTCCTGTCCTTTTCCTGGTACTTCAGTACTCCTTGACATGGAGACCGGGGACTTTAGCCCTAAGGGGACTTGGGCTATGTCCAGAGACGTGTTTAGTTGTGCATTTAGACATATTTTGTTACCCCTCTGGGGTAAGTACTAGTGGCATCAAGGGGTCGGAGCACACAGATGCTCCTCAGCATCCTATGGTGCTTGGGCCAGCCCCTGCAGCAAGGACTTACCCGGCCCAGCGTGCCAGAAATTGAGAAGGACCAATAAAAGACCTGGTCAGTATGAGATTGGCCAATGGTACAGTATAAAGTGCAAAAGAGGATGGCTGTGGGTGGAAGGAAGAAGGAAAAGGATATAAACCTTGGGAAAACTTACCTCTGAGGGTCTGGCAGCAGAGGAGAAGCAGCTAGCAAAGGATACTGGGAAGAGAGTAGTGACATCAAAGTGTTGGCCAGCAGACCTCTGCCATCCCAAGGCATCCCTATCCCACAGAGCACAGGAGAGTAATGGCAGACTTTCATTAAGCATTGGCAGTCTTAAGTCAGCCCCCATGTCCTTTCTTAAACTGTCCTAGTCTGAGAAAAATGCCACAGAGGCAGTGCTCTCCCTAGAATGAAAAGAGGAAGCTGGCCTCAAAGAGAGAATTTCCAGAGGATGATATTGTGGGTGAGGACCATTTAGAGGGTGGGTCTTGATTTTTGACATCATTGTGTGTTATTTTCAATGGACTTTAAGCTTTCTAGAGCCATCCTTGAAATGTTCCTGTTATTGAAGCCCTCAGCAAGGTGATCATGGGTCAGAGTCATTAATTGCAGCCCCTCTGGATCTGGTCCCTTGATGTGGTGGTGGCACTGCACCTCTCTAGTCCCCTTGGAATCATTCTGTTCTGTCTATAGCCATCCCAGTGTACTAGCAAGATACTGAGCTCAATATAACTCATAGTATTGTTGGGACAGCCTTACATTCCCAGAAGGCATTGTGAAATGTAGGGAAGTTAATGTTATCAGGTCTCATCACATAGGGATTAGTGATTTCACCAGCATCGCTCTTTCTGAGCATCCTTATAAATTGCCTCTAAATGAAGCACAGTGAGATGGGAAGAAAAGTGTTGGCAAACAGTTCGCTGGCAAGGACCCTCTCCAGAACAGGTACGAACATTTCAGGACCCAGGTGATAAGCACCACAGTCAACGCATAGTAGCTTGGAATTCCCATCCACTGGCTTATCATACAGCACATCCCTGATGATCTCTGTGAGTGTCACTGCAGGAGGGGTGTCCGTGGACAGGGAAACATCATGTACTCTGCCCACCCACTGAAGCATTAGAAAGAATGCAAAAAACAGTGTGTCCCTCTGTGATCATTCAACCTGAGGGTAGTGAGCATCACGTGCTCTTGCGCAGGTGGACTGCCTTTATTTTAATGCCACAGTTCACTGTTCAGTGTTTTCCTTCTGCCACCTCATCCTGGGATGTCAGCCTCACAGCTCTCATTTTTGAAATCATTCCAATCTGCAAAGCATAGCTTCGTTACTGTATCAGTCAGGGTTTTCCAGAGAAAAGGAACCAGTGGAGGGGAGAATTGATTATAGGAATTGGCTTATGTGATTTTGGAGACTGAGAAATCTTGCCATCTGCCATCTGCAAGCTGGAGACCCAGGAAAGCTAATAGTGTAATTCAGTCCAAGTCTGAGGGCCACATGCCAGTGTTTGGTGGTGATGGTGATTGTATAAGTCTCATAGTCCAAAGGTCCAAAGATCAGGAGCTCAAATGTCTGAAGGCTGAAAAGTGGATGTCCCAGGTCAAAAAAGGAAAGCATGTTTTCGCTTCCTCTCTCTGCCTTTTGTTCCAGTTAGTGGATTAGATGACTCCTACCCATATTGGTGAGGGCTGCTCTTCTTTACTCAGTCTACTGATTCAAATGTTGATTTCTTCCAGAAACATCCTTAGACACACCACAATAACGTTTTTCAGCTATCTGTGCATCCCTTAGTTCAGTCAAATTGACCTGTAAAATTAACCATCACACCTATCACCTTCAGGACCACTTGTACTTTGCTGGTTCTAAAAGATGGAGAAGTTTATGCCTTTATGCATTTTGTAGAAGTCTCTTCTTGTCTATCTGGGTTTTGAAATTGTCTTTAAGAAGTGCAAAATGGTGAAAATTCAGAGAACTGGACAATGTGGAGATTTCATATATATACAGATTTAGAGGAAATTGGTGGAATTTGAACTCAAAATTCCAAATGGCAGAGAATTCCCTGACCAAACTATGACTGTCATGATGGCCAGTTTTTGTATTTTCAATTCTGGGTCATGTGAAATGCACCAGAAGTGTTGCTTCTGCTTTTCCCTTCACGAACATCCCTTTGGATCTTATGATAGGAATGTTTTCATGTTACTGGTTTAAAAATTTTAGAATTTTTAAAAAGTGAAGTTGGAAGAGCAAGTCTTCTTGAAGCAATCCTGATGACGCAGATGGCTCCTTATTTTTAACCTAAGAGCACTTGTTCCAGAACTGTTCACAAACTGTAGCTGTTTCCATGGAAACAGCTCAGTCCCGATAGGAACAAAACACTTGGTCCATCCAGTTTCTCTGTCTCTTAGTTTTTGTTGCCAGGATTTGTCTTGCTGTTCATAGGTTGTCAGGAATCAGCGGTATAATGATTCCAACTGAATTTGATCAGTTGGTTTATTTTTCTCTTAATTTCTTAATTTTTATATCTTATTTTGAGGAGTTGGGTATAGCTATGAGGAATAAAAGAAAAGCTGCGGGGCCTGGTAGCACATGCCTATAATCCCAGCACTCTGGGAGGCTGAGGTAGGAGAATCACAATTTTCAGCTCAGTCTGGGAGCTGGCAATATAGTTCAGTACAAAGGCCCTAGATTCCATCTTTAGTGCTGAAAAAAAAGGAAGGAAGGAAGAAAGGAAAAAAGGAAGGAAGAAAGAAGGAAGGGAGGAAGGAAGGAAAAAAGGAAGGAAATAAAAATAAAAGAAGGGAAAAGCTAAGCTTTTACCACTGCAGCCTTGTCGTCCCCATCTGGGGCAAGATAAGGAAGCCTGAAGACATCGTGCTTTTTTTTTTAAATGTTAAAAGTTGGGGCTGGGGACTTAGCTCAGCGACAAAAGCACCTGCCTGGCAAGTGCAAGGTCGTGAGTTCGGTTCCTGGTACCGGAGAAAAACCAAAAAAAAACCAAAAAAAACAAACAAAAAAAAGTTAACCATTGAAGATCTGCACTTCCTAAGAGGGAGATGTTGTCAGAGCAAGGAAGCTGAGGGTGGACTTGGCAGTTGGTATATTGATGAACCCTTCTCAGATGTTTTAGATTCAGACCTTTCAAATTTCCCACATGAAGAGTTAGTGGAATGGACACTGGTTATCAAGGTTTAGTACTGTATAGTCAATTTAGATCTTAGCTGAGATTGCCTTTAATCTTTGCTTTCACTTAAATAGATATTTACAAAAAAAAAAAACTAAGAGAAAATGTGAAAAGTATCAATGTAGCTGTGGGTGAGATGTGAAGGTATGAGGCTCTAAGTTGGCACCATGACTTGGACTGTGCCGTGAGTCTACATCGTGGCTTGTCACCGCCGAATGGGAGTGTGGCTTGCCTGGAGTTCTGTTCACTAGTCCACAAAGTGGACGGATACTAGAAACATTAGAAATTGTATGGTAGAATATAGGATTTTAGGTGTTCTTTCAAATAATTTTGGATTACTCTTGATGTGTCTCAAAACCTTTTAATATTAAAAGTACATTTTTCCTAGAAAAGTGCAAATCATTTAAGATTTTCACATGAATTGTGGGGTGTTTTAGTAATTTCTGCAACATAAATGCAGATTTCCAATCATAGTTTAATGTGCCTGAGTTGTAACAGAAAAGGTGTTTGGCAAAACTCATAAAGCAAAACGATTCATATCTTATGTCTACATTAGACCTGTTCAGGGAATAAAATTTAGAAATCACATAATAAATATGATACTTGAGTGGCTAATTGAGGATTTGCTTTCATTTCCTCACTATCAGAGTGTAGGAATATATGTTTTAAAATTTTTAAAGGCATTTATGAAAGAGTACATAAAGGCCATAAACTGTATTACCTATCAAAAACAAGAATCGATAAAGCAGGTAGTTGACTTGTAGAGAAAAGAGGGAAAACGAAAAAAGAACCCTTGCCAACTTTAAATGGTTTTCAGTTCCCCTTAAAAATGAAGTTGGAAAGGTGTTTCCTTTTTCTGAAAACTTTAATCATGACCTTGCTTTGCTTCCATGTGTTTAATTTCACTGAAGTGATGTTTCACAGAAAAGCCTTTCACTTTTTCCTTTAATACCCAGAATTGAAGTGATAACCCTCGAAGGAATGGGAATTCCGAGTTGCACATTAGCTGTTTGGCATGGATATAGAGAAAGGTCCATCCAGCCTCAGTGCATCTGTATTTAACCTTAGGCAGGAAGTGTATTGCTTTCAGTAAACCTTCCATACTAAAGATATTCCTTACAATGGCCCATGTCCAGGCCAGCAGCACAGTATACAAGGCATATAGTTTTAAAGGCTCAGCTCTTTTGTCTGTCCTGTGGGGAATGAATGAGCAAGCAGTTGTTGAAGGAATTCCAGTGCTTTTGGCTTTCAGAGCAGACAGACAGATGTGCTTCTCCTAAGCTGGCTGAAGCAGGTCCCAAATATCCACACCCACAATCTGGATACAAAGAAGGAAATTGAACTTTCCAGTATATGCTGATATTCTTCTAGAGTCATAGATATCTTAAAAGTGAACTTGCAGTCATTTGCACTATAGTGACATATTATAAAAAAGGGCACTATTGACTGCAGAAATGTTTGCGTAGTGTTCCACACAGCCCAGACGACTTTTCCAGATGGGTTACAAGAAATCAACTTCATCTGGATTTTCTGGTGGAGAAGAGGTCATCCCTGCCCGTATGTCCTTGCATATTTTTCCTGCAAGCTATGGAAAGTTACAGTACATGGTTTAATTTTGGCTGCTAGACTGTTTCGTATGCCTGCAGTAGGCAGGCCTTTAAGAGGGTGCCCTTCGCTTCTCCTGCCCTCCTGTAATTCGTTTTTATTCCTCGTTTCTTTCTCTGATAATGCCTGTTATTTGAGATTTTCCTGGAAATGGTGTGATTATCTGGAACTGGATCTTCTGCCACCCTCAGCAACTTGAATCCTGGTAGACAGTCGCCTACCTAGAGCTAAGAGGCTCAAGTGGAATCTTGATCTCCTCACACTTATACCACAGCAAGCTTGGAGTCGGGGTGGAGCTCAGGGGTTAGAGCCTGTATGAGACCGTGGATTGGCCTCTCAGTACCACAACAAAATAACAACAAAAACCTTAGAAAATACAAAAGAGTGTTTCTTAAAGTATATCTGTTTGTATTATATGTATAACAATTAAATCTGGTTACCTTTAGCTGGGCTTCCCTATGGATCAGATACATTGAAGTAAAAAATATGGGGACACAGTGGATTTTTTTATTGTTTTTCAAGCCTTTATATTTATCCTTTCCCTTTGACTTGTCTTGCTCTCCAGTAGAATGTTCCAGAAATTTCATTGGGTATAATGCCTGATTTGGCACTAACTTATTTATGGGTCGGCTTCGAATGTATTTTCCTTGGGCTTCAGTTACATGACCACCATAAACTTTAATTACACTAATTAGACATAGGCAGACGCCAGGCCCAGTTGGATTCCTAAGCCTAGTCAGCAGCCTCTGTCATTAGTTTTTTCAGTGACATGATTTGGCATCATTTTCCAACACATTTTCAGGAAATTAGTTTTAAGTTAGAAAAAGAACTTGTCTAATAAAGAATTAGAAAAGAACTTGTCTAATAAAGCTACTGACACTCAAATGGTTTCTTTACCTTCTTGGAGAATTGGGCTTGAGTAAAACGTGTACACTTATGCAATACCTTGTGTACCCTTTTCTTTCCACGACTGTGGGTTTTTGGATTAGTTTGGTACCTGGGGAAGGAGTCATGTCCAATCCACCTGCCAGGCTGATGAGGCCCTGTGTTCATGTCTAGATTAGGTGGAGCCTGACTTGGCACAAAACTGGGCAGCAAGTTTTGATGTGTGTACCAACTCCAGCCAGTTGGTGGTATCTATGTGGAGCACAGTGTTGAGAAGGATTCTGAGAGCTGCACCCAGCAAGCAGGAAGCAGACTGTTTGTGCCACCCACCCTAGGCACAGGAGGGGGTCATCCAAGCAACTTTCCTGCCCTATATCTGCCATTCCTGTTTTAATAAGGATCTTCCCATCCATGCCTAATGGAAATCTGTAAAACCTCCAAGGCCAGTTAGCAGCCTCCAGACTGGGCAGTGCTGCAGAGGAGGCATCTTTGAGAGCAGTAGGTGTCAGATTGCGAGTCAGGAGAACCCTCAGGGCATGCCAGACCCCATGTTTAGCTTTTTTTATAGGGCTTAAGCAGTAGTACTCCTGTTGTAAAGGACGCTATAAAAATATAAGCTATGTTGGTTTCACCTAATGTATATCTGACACCATTTCAGGACATAAAAAGTAATGCAGTCTCTTTGCCAGGCAAGCACTTGGGAATTCAGGGCCATCCTCTGTTTGTATACCCTGAGGATTGTGCCAACACTTCTGGTGAGGATAATAGTTTATATCCAGCCCGAGTATTTCACACCAACATCCATGCTCACAAGGCCTCCTGTCATGCTCATACACATTTGCTGCCATGCTACCCACTGCTTAAGCACCTGTTGAGTGTCAGCCTTCTGCAGGGCATTTTGCATTCATACCTGGTTGAGGTCTTTGGTGCAGGAAGGAGCACCGGGCTTCAGCGTTGTTTTCTAGAATGCTAGTTGATGGGTTTCTCTCTTGTTAGTTTCTCAATGTGGCCATTCATGCTTAGGCACAGCCAAGGGAGCAAAAAGCCACAAGCATCCCTTGCATTTGCCTACAGATAGTGGTGGGGTGGGGACAATCGAGCAGCTTCTTCCCGCTCTGGGATGACTTCACACAGGAACCTAGAACAGTACAGAATATAGACGTGTTGAAGGCTGCTAGCCTTTTTTTGTCAATTCTTTGAAATAACCACAATGTAATTGTCATCCTGAATCTAAGACTAGGAGAGATGGTTCAACGGAGTTTTGCACTATTTTATGACCCTTCATTCCAAATCCTGTTAAGGTTGGTGCAGTAACTTCACCATTTCTTTAAAAAGTGAGTTTACAGAACCCGGGACGGTGCAGAGAGTAGTGTATGAAGACTTTTTTTTTTTCAATTCTTTGCTATCCTCCCTCCCCTCCGTCTTGCAGAGTCTCAAATATTCAGCAGCAGCTGGCCCAGCTTGCTAATGAGTCCTGGCCCGGCATGGCCGAGGCTGACAGAGACCGGCTGCAGCTCATCAAAGAGAAGGAGGCCCTGCTTCAAGAGCTGCAGCTCATCATTCAGCAGCGGAGGTCAACCGAAGACGTGGCCCGGCTGGAGGAAGAAAAGCGGCGCTTGGAGGAGGAGATCCAGCGGGCGCGGGCCACATCCGCACAGGGTGCTACAGAAAGGTGAGCTGGTATCCAGAGGTTCAAGGCGAGGCGGGACACTAGCTGGAAAAGCTAGCTCAGACGATTTATATACGACTTGAGCATGTTCTTAATTATTACAGGTTGAGTATCCCTTATCCAAAATGCTTGGGCCCAAAAGTGTTTCCAATTGTGGATGTTTTTTAAAAGTTTGCAATATTTGCAAAGACTTTACTGATCTGAAAATCTAAAATCTGAAAGCACTTTAAAAGTTTGGGATTATGAATCATTTCAGAATTTGGATTTTAAAATCGGCGATGCCCAACATATACTGAGAGCAGCTACCGCAGTGTTTCGTTACCAAGTAGAGGAGGAAGCATGTGCTTCCCATGCCGCGAGAGGTGCCAGCCGCTCCCCAGGGCTCCTGAGGCTCCGGGCGCCTGCTCCGAAGTGGGAGACGATCAAGAAAGGGGAAAGAGGGAGGGAAGGCAGTGGTTATACCACCTATATGTACCCTTCCTGGCATAGGTACTTGATGCTTTTGCCTGTGTTTGTGTAGGCTTGGCACCAGCAGGAAGGTGGGGAGGCAGGTGATGGTCCAGCTTTGCTGTCTTGGTGAAGTGACCCCCATAGCATCGTGGGGGTCATAGGGGCCCACCATCTCTAACTTCGATCTCTAGCCAGAGAGGGCTGCTCTTTCTTTTGCAGTAGGAAGTTGGCAGCCTGTTATGGACCTGTTTCTGGATGCACCTCTCCTCTGATGGTCTTGAGACTCTTTTATGCATAGGTCATGTGAAGCCAGTGTCTTTAGTATTCTTCAATGCCAAGTTGTTTAGCCTTTCATCATGTGCCACGTCTCCTGGTTTCCATTTGCCGCCTGCAATCGCGCATAGTGTCGAAGGCTCTATCTGCTTTCCATATTTAACAGCTGTCAGTAGTTTATCTGTGGAGCTCTGCCTGGCTTTGGAGAAGCCATTCCACCATTTGCTAATATACTGGTTCCCTAAAATTCAGTGCATTAACATAACCATAAGATGCATCACCATGAGCATCCTCTACCTAGACTTTAAGTCATCTGGATTATTTGGTGTATATGGATGCACTTAGAACTAATACTTCATCATACTTTATGACTGCTCTTGGTATTTACTGGGTATATTTGTGCTTCACTGCCATGAACACCAAGTACTGTGTCGCTGTCCTGTCCATCTGTATATCAAGCATTTATGATGCACCAGCCATTTCTCCAAGTGCCAGGGATATATTTTTCAAACAAGACCAAAAAAGTCTTAATTGGCTCTATGACCTTGTCTTACTATTTCTTTCTCATTGCTGAGACAAAATACCCAACACCCAAAGTTAAAGGAGAACAGGTTTATTTAGTTCAAAGTTTGTGTGGGCTTCAGTCCACAATCAACTGGCTCCAGGGTGGCATGGCAGAGTGCATCACAGAGGAGAAACAGTTCATGGTGGGCAGAAGGCAGCAAAACAGCAAAGTAACAAAGAAGCAGCAAGCAACAGCAGCAGCCTTCTTTCTGACCCTTATATTCTGTTCAGGCTGCACATCCTTAGAGTCGGTAGCACTCACACCCAGGGAGGGCCTTCCCATTGTCCACACCCAGAACTATGCCAAGCCAATCAGTAGACTAATGTAGTAATCACACACCCTCGATCCCAGCATCACACACTTAATCCCAGCATCACACATCCTAGATCCAGCCAGCTCCCCAAACTCCTATTTATGAGTGCATGAGGCTTTGCGGGGGCGGGGGTGCATCTAGATACAAGTCATAACAGATCTAGATGCTTTTAGAATTGATAGTCTTTCCAACCCAAATCACTTGCAAGGAATTTATAGTTGAACTACTTTTCATGATAATGTATTACCCATACTGTATTTCAAATCCACCAATTGACTATTTTTGTACCTACAGGATTCTGCTTCAGGAAAAAAGAAATTGTCTACTTATGCAGCTGGAAGAAGCCACCCGCCTAACTTCATATCTCCAGTCCCAGTTAAGAAGGTAGGTTACTGTAAAATAGAAAATGATAATTGTCATTAGTACAGTGACATATGCATGAATTTTAGCTTGGATTTTTTCCTACTGGACCTTGCAACTTGATATGAAGTTAAAACACAGAATGGAAAAGTGGATGCATTATATTTGTAAGAGATCTTGCTAACATATGCCTCAAGGAAAATGAGGGAAACCAAATTTGCCTTCAGAATAAATAAGTCTGAAATCAGGCTTATCAAAGAATTTCATAATCTAACACCTTCAGAAGTGTTCATATATGCACACACACATTTTTATTGTGGAGGTTTTTGTAAAGGATATGAATATTTTTCAGTGCAGTTTGGATGCTTACTAACTGCTCACCTTTTCAGGTCCTTACTGTATTGTGAAGCATAGTGTTGAGGCTTTGTACGAATTACTTTCTCAGTTATTCCTTCTAAGAGTATGGAGGTAGGGCCTGTTATTACCCAACTCCCGAGAGAGTGATTGTGAGCCTTGGAGATGTTCCATTAACATGACTGAGTACGCTTAGCCAGTCTGCCTTAGAGCCAGGACTCCAGCCCAGGCATGAGTCTGCTGTTGCCCTGTGCCCTCTAATGTCATTGAGAAAAATGCAGGAGATGCTAGTCTGCTCAAATGCATTCAGTGGTCATAGCTATGCTGGGGTTTGCTATTCCCACCCTGTGTGTTTCTAACACCTGATCTCTCTTCTTTCAGTCTGTCTGCCAGTACCCTGACTGTGTCCTCTGGGAGCAGCCGCGGGTCCCTGGCCTCCAGCCGGGGCTCGCTGGCCTCGAGCCGAGGTTCCCTGAGCTCGGTCAGCTTCACCGACATCTATGGCCTCCCGCAGTACGAGAAGGCCGATACTGAGTGCGGCCAGCTCCTGCGCTTTGATCTGATTCCCTTCGACACCCTGGGACGCGATGTCTCCTTTGCAGACCCACCCAGCCACTCGGGCTTCCACAAGCAGAGGCGGTCCCTGGACACACCCCAGTCCCTGGCATCCCTGTCTTCCCGCTCCTCCCTATCTTCTCTGTCACCCCCCAGCTCGCCCTTGGACACGCCCTTCCTCCCAGCTTCACGGGACTCGCCTCTGACGCAGTTGGCAGATGGTTTTGAGGTGCCAGGCCTGGGTGCTCTAGACAGACTTCGGGCACAGGCCTCTGCATTGGGGGATGAAGATTTGCCGGGCTCAGCGCCACTTCAGCCACATGGATTTCCTGGGGAGAAGGAAGGCCCACGTGAGCGGGGACCCCCAGGGGCTGGAGCCCCTGCCGCTGGAAGTAAGTGGTGGTGAGACCCCGTTTGAAGCAGGATCTGAAACCCAGAAAGGATACTGTGTGCAGTGACATTGGGGCTGGTAGCTCCTCACGTCCCCAATGAGCTGGAAGTTTAAAAACTTGGACAGGGTTCGGAGGGGACCGCACCTGCTCTAATCTTTCCTGTCTGTGTCAGGGAAAAATGTTCACCGCTGAGAAAGTGGTCTTTCCCAAGTACTTGGCGTGTTGTAAGTAGGCATTTAACTGTGGAAAATGAGGGCAAGAGCCACAGGCTTCCATGTTCAGAGGCTGTGAAAGAGGTATGAGGCCTCAATGGACTCTGTAGGCTGTGTGCCAAGGGAGCGCATGCTGTGTGTGCCCACCTTAGAGAGCGAAGGACTCGTGTCTCCTTGTAGCTCAGTGGGAATCTCTGCTTTGGCACTTTAACTTCATCTCTTTATCCTCTGTCCTTGTAGTTTTAAAGATGTAACTCTATCCAATGTGGAAGTGAAAATAATTGCATAGTTTCAAAAGACATACCAGTAAGTATCAGTCATTTGTACCACTCCTGTGTCCCTGGTGATCTCCACGTGGAGAATCCTCTGGCAACATGGTGCGCCCTCTGTCCAGGTGTTTTGAGTTTAGCTCCTCGTGGGTACCAGGGTGCTGTTCCAGAGAATAATGACCCCATAGGCTTTTTCAAGCCAACCCCCAGCAACTTTAGCTTTTTAGTTTTTAAACAGAGTGAAGAACAATGTCTCCGATTCCTGAAGTTCAGCCCCACTTCATCAACTTTTATTTGTAGAGCAAAATGTTTTAGGTATTCCATCTAGGCAAATACTGGATGATCTGGATAGCATGGTGGGTACCAACCAGGGGTACTTCTGTTCCCTGCCTTGCGGGACCTTCGGTAGTGTCTGAAGACATTCTTGTCTGTCACAACTGGAGGGGGGATACTATTGTCACCTAATGAGCAGAGAGAGGCCAGGGACACTGCTAAATATAATACAGTGCGTAGTGCAGTCTTCATAACAAAGAAAGATCAGTCCAAAATGTTAGTCGTGCAGAGAGAAGGAGCCCTGTAAGCGTACTATTATTTATGAAACAAAGGTAGAAATAGAACTGAAATAGCAACCAGTTTGGTGCAGAGGAAACAGCTTCAGGCTAGCAGTCTGGAGACCAGGATTCCGTTCCCTGTCCTTTTGACTGCTAGCCGTGTAACCTTGGGCTGCTTCACCTTCCCTACCCTTAAAGGAGGTGATTTTTATGATCTCTTCCATTTACAACCATTTGGTTACCTGTGATACAGATTGACTGATAGATGGAAAAGTTGATTGATCTTTAGATTGACCTATCTATAAAGCAGTAATCTGTTAATATTTACGTTTTTAACCAGAGGCCACGATGTTCTGAAGCTTTCCCATGGCTTTTTGACATCTTTGTTATTTCGATGTCTCCCTCTCTGTGTTTATAAGCGCACTCTCCTATCCCTAGATACATTGCTTCTATAATGTCACATGTGCAGGTAGCTTTCATTCCCTCTGTTCTTCTCACCAGAGGTGCGTTGTTCTGTATTTATCCCTTTTATTCAAAAGTGAAAATGCACAATAAGGACGGAGTTGAGCATCTACCATTGCTTAAATGGGAAACTTCGCTCCTTAGTCTCTCTCCCTCTCCTCCTCTTTAGTACTTTCTCTCTAAATGTTGAGATACAAGAGTATCAGTCTGGTTATGCAGAAAGTCTACACAAGGCCCAAGGGCCCCTTTGGGCCAGGAAAGACAAGGTGGGAGGGAGAAGGTCTGATTTCATGTTTGATCCTGGTTCCTTTGGTTTTCCTTCCCCCTCTGGCAGGCGTAATGTTTCCAACTTCTTAGACTGAGCAGTATTTGCTTAGTCTGCGTTTCGATACTGCCACCTGGTGGTATATTCCTGCATAACACTGTCATTTGAAGTAATTGACTGAGCCACTTAATGTGTCTGCCATGTGCTCACAGATATCTGGGTGGTATAACCAACTTCAGGCATGGACACACGTGACTCTTCACTCCCCTGGGAACTTCTAGGCCCAGGGTTGTCATGGCTTCATAAAGGTGGAGCTTGGTGCTCATCCGATTATCCCCACTCTATCATTAATCTTTGACCAGCGCCGTGCAGTTCTGTCCACATTTTCAGTCTTGCTAGAACCAGCAGTAAGTTTGTCTCCAGGGAGGTTTTAATAAGATAAAATTTTAGTAAGATAAAAATCAAAATTTCCCAAGCCCACAAAAGTGATTTCTTCCACTGTGATGTTAATCAGTCAGGGGACAGAACTCGGGTCAGAGGAGTGGGGCACTAGACTATAATTCTGAACATTTTTCACATTTTTGCTGGTGTTGTCTTCCCTGGATTTTGTAACTCAAATGTGTTATGATTTTGAAACACTTTCCTAATTTCATCTACTCATTATTATCTGCTAATCAAAATCCATAAAAATCTTGACTTTGTTCATGTATTTATTGATTATATTATAGTCATACTCTGTTTAAAATTGTTGGCTTCCATTCTGCAGTTTTTTCACTTTGTGCTTTTTTATCTCTTTTCTCATGCGGCTCCACAGAAACATTCACTGTAAGTGGCCTTGGAACCCTCCTCGTCCCCCTTTGTGGCTCAGGCTGTGGGCACATCTATGTGTGGTGAATCCGTGCTGAGGACGGCTGGGGTGTACTTAGCAATTATCATTATCATTATCATTCCAGCAGTAGTAGTCACAATAGCTACTAAAGTCATGTAAGAACTTCTCTAAAAGTTTTCACTATTTTTCCCTACACGCGTTTTTTTTCTCTCCAGAATTTAGTGCATTCGTTATTTTAATGTCAGCTGGAAGCTTCGCCTACAATGTGGTTTTCATTGTATTTCCTTCCTTTGTATTAAGCAGTGTTCATGTCCTTGGGTTTTACTGTCTGCTTGCCTGCCTGCCTGTCTGTCTGTCTGTCTGACTGGCTGGCTGTCTTAAAGGGTGAAAAGTCAGAGACCATTTTAAAATGAATGTGTAGAAGACTTTTATTCCTTGCTTCTTTGGCATTGCTTCCTGTGGTTGTTTCATTGCTTGGAAGCCCAGCGATGGATGTCCCTGGTGCATTCTGTGGGGTGTTCCTTGCTGTCTTTACACCCAAGGCAATTGCTACTGCTAGTGTCCCAGCAGCTCCTGCTTTTAGTTGCTCTTTGCGTTCAGTGATTTGGCTTGGTGTCCGTGAGGAGTTCTTTGACTTCCCTCCTCTTTTCATGTATTCCCATTGTCAGGAGGAGAGGGGAGTTTGGTCAGAGTGGTACCTACCATCAGATACAGTTACAAGGACTGCTTAGGACTGTTACCTAGAACTGTGTCCTTAAAGGAACTTATTTTTATCTGTCTATCTACCTATCATTCTTTCTATCTATTTGTGCTATGGGGATTGAACTCAGGGCTTTAACACTGAGCTACACCCCAGGCTCTTTTTAATTTTTTACTTTGAGACAGGGTCTCATTAAGTGACTGAGTTACCCAGGCTGAGATCCTTTTGCCTCAGTCTCCCAATGTACTGGGATTATAGGTCTGCCCCACCATACCCTGCTCTTAAAGGGGGTTAAAGCTAATAACTTTTCCTGGTGTCAGGACTGAGAATGAAAACTGTGATTGGTTTCATTTCCTGGAAATTGATGCAGCACACTAGAAGGTCCCCTTTTTAGTTTGGGGCCACGAGTTTGAAATCTTTCACACAGCAAGGATGAAGAAAAGAGCTAGACTTAGTTGTCCTGGCCTTCAGCCTGAGAGTTGGTGCCTGTGGTCACCCTAGGGTGGAGTCAGCCTCTGTCCTTGGTTGACCAGGGCAGGAGCAGATAGCCTTCCACCCCAGGCTTGACATTGGAGACCTTTAGAAGGCTAGCTTTTGTCTCCAGTTGACGTAGAGAAGTCAAAGACCACAGCCTTGTATGTGTTTGTTCTGTGTGCTGTTTAATGTGCTTGTATTTAATTGATGTGAATCATTGGTTGAAAACAGTGAATATTGGTTGTATAACTATGGAAAATACCAAATAGCATAAAGTAGACTTTATTACAGCAGAAGTGGATGCCTTAGAGCTCATCATTTCCCTCATCTTAGGAATGTACAGATGCCAAGATCTTCAATTTATAGAGCCTAGTTAGCCAAAGGCAAGTGTAGGACCATGGAGGAACTTGCATTATAGCAAGAGGCCTCATGTGTCAGAGCACTGTTGAGTTTAGGGCTTCATATTTTATTCTGTATTCTAACCAGGCATACTCCTCTATAAAACATTGAGTCTCCTGTGTACATAATCACATTTCACATAGTAAAATTATATGCATCGTTTATAGGTTTTATTTAAAGGAACTTACTGCTGTGAGAAAAGGGATAGAAACAGTGAAATGTTAGAAGGCAAAATTTCAGTGATGCTCTTTGGCTTTTGATTAAAATAAGCAAGGGAACAGAAACAAACTGCCTGGGAATGGTACCCAGGAAAGCAATCCTGGAAGAGAGTCTCACCCCAGGGTGGCTGGGGAAGATACTGCAGTTAGGGATAGGACACATGTGTGCTGCAGCGCCCTCCCTGCAGGCTGCAGGGACCCAAGGAGCTGTTTGCAAAGGGTTAGTCTGGGCTCAACTGGGTCCTCTGATTTGGATGTCATTAGAGTTTCTTAGGGTTTATTTGGTTGATTAAACATTTTTTCAATTCTAAAAGCAAAATATATGTTTGTATAACTATGGAAAATACCAAATAGCATAAAGAAGAGAATGAAAAATACTACCCCAGTGAGAGCGCAGTGTTCTTTTGGATATGAGAGTCTTTATTAAAGTGCTGTGGTTTTGTACATTAGAATTTCTGCATCACATAAAATGTTTTAAGACAAAAAAAAAATGAATAAAGTGCTGTATGCTCAATAAGGGGGTGAAAAGCAATTTATGATTCCAAGTGTCTTTCTAGACAGTTTAAAAGCTTTCAGAGTAGCCAGCAGCCTATTTTTTCTGTTTTTCAGTATTAGAAACAGTTCATGCACGGTGTCCTTATGTGTATGTACACATCACGGTGTGTCTCTGGGACACTTAGTGACTTAGCTCGGCCCTACTGGAGAGGTCCTGGCTTCCCGCGCCGGCATTCTCTGATCCAGGTGTGTCCCTTGTTCGCAGCAGTGACTCTCCGGGAAGACAGCGCTAAGAGACTGGAGAGAAGAGCACGCCGTGTCTCTGCCTGCCTGTCGGATTACTCACTAGCGAGTGACAGTGGGGTATTTGAACCTCTCACTAAAAGGTTAGGAGGTGGTCCTGCTTTTATTATTTGTTTCCATCTTATTTTATGGGTGTGTGTTTGTTGTGGGGAGTTGGTGCTGGTACATAGGACATCCTCATTCTCTGCTCATCCCCGTCCCTTTCCCTTGCCCCTCCCTCCATCTTCTGGTCCCTTTCCCTTTTACAAAAGCTCTATCTCACTGTTTCTTGTTGTCTGTCTTTTCTTTGCTCTTTAATTTATTTATTCTTTGGTTTTCTCATATAAAAGAGAACGTGATATTTAAGCTTCTGTGTCTTATTTCACTTAACATTATGGTCTTCAGTGCATCCATTCTTCTACAAATGACTCAAATTTAGCCGTTTTTATGGTAGCTTCTTATTTCCTTCTCTGCGAGCTGACTTAGCACAGTGTTACTGTTACCCACGAGACAGGTCCATACTGAAGCTTTTATATATTGACACTATGTATGTAGGGGTATAAAGTATCTTTTCTTTAAAAAAATTTTTTTTTGTACCAGGAATTGAACTCAGGACCTTGTGCTTGTCAGGCAGGCGCTGTGCCCCTGAGCTATATCCCCAGCCTAAAGTATTTTTCTTTCCCTTGTCAATTTGAGGAACTTGGGGCTTAGAACCCTGCCAAGAATACTCCTTCCTTCAGCTTCTGGGTAGCATTTGCAGGCTGGCTGTCATTCTGTTCTAGGATGACTTCTTTCCCCTCAACTGGGGTGTATTAAGGCTGAAGCCCAATAGAGTTGAAAAAGGAGAATAGCATATGTACACTGGAGACCGTTGCTTTTCTAGAAAGGATATTCCCTAGAAATGGACTTCCTGTCTCCCTTCTTTCCTGAGTTAAAGAAATAGCCTTGCAGTTAAAACAAAACAAAACACAACAAAAAAGCTTTAGAATTCTGAGCTTTTTTTTTCTGGAATATCTTTGAAGCTGTCATGTCTGTGTACATTTGTAAAGTTCAGTTCAGGTATCCCTAAGACATTTCAGGTGTTGCAAATTTTTTGAAAACCAGCTTTTGAATGTCGCCCAATGTATCACATGGGGTTTTGAAAGGTACGCCGAGTTATTTCAGAAATCAAAGCAAAAAATAAACAACATGAAAAAGAAACAGTAGTTTATAGGCAGATACCATGGATCTTGGGGACTGCCGTGCATGCCTTTGTAGCTGCTTAACGGGCAGCCTTGTTTATTTCCCTTTGGTGTCACTCTTCTCCGTAAGTGCAAAAGCCACAGTGACTGATTCCCTCTAGAATGAAGCCAGGTGCATTTTGCATTGTGTTCAGGAATGAAGATGCGGAGGAACCTACTTGTGCAGACTCCTGCGGAAACGATGACCCTCAGATCCACGTGGGATTTCTGTGAGTACCGAGCCCCTTCCCTGTTGCTCCTGCAGATGCCCTGTGGATGGGCCCAGCCTTGTGGCGCCCACCTCCGTGAACAGGCAAGGGCGTGGAGGGACCCTGTGACCTAAGTGCTGCTCCCTCACCTTTGTCCAACTTCAGTGGGTCTTAAGTGAGGTGACAGAGGTGGCAGGAAGGAGCGACAGAAAAGTGGCTCTGTCACCGCATGGAGCTGGGGGTTGGGAGTCATAACACAGTGAGTAATGAAAGCCCCAAGCAAGTCCAGCTCTTGGGGACATTTTCTGCCATTTCTGCCAGGAGCTGACTGTGTTGTTCACTGAAGGACAGAGAGTAGGCTCCTCCGTCATCCCCAGAGTGGATCACTCGGTGGTTTGGTTTCTAACTACAGCTGCAGTCCAATCAGTCATCATAGTGTTCCCCGCAGCAGGGCAGGAGTTTAGATCCCTGTGGATTTCTTTCTTCTTACCTGGGTTTTAGGGCTGACCTTGTTGGCCTTTGGAGCCAGATGGTTTTTTGCTCTGGAGTCTGTCTTGTTTAATAGCATCCTTGGCCTCCACCCACAGGATGCCAGGGCAGTCCTTTCCCCTCCAGTGTAACAATAAACAATGTCTCCATAAAATTTTTTACCGCTGTCTCTATTGTTTATTTTTCTTTTCTTAAAGAAACCCCATAAAATAAAACAAAACAAAAAACACACAATGTCTCTAGATAGTGAGGTGTCCCTTGGGGGTAGGCTGGGGCAAAATCCCACTCAGTTAATGACCACTGCTGTTGGCCAGTCCCATTGTGACTGGCCAGTCCCCATTGTGGGGAGTCCCCATCATGGGGAATTTGTGGTGCATGATCTCTGGGTTTATTTTCTAGGCATGATAGTGCCAGTGAATGTCTCCTTGTGCATGTGCTCCAACTGAGGAACTTCGCCAGGCTGGTGATGAGAGAAGACTGCAAAATGTAAGCTCCAGGGCTGGGGATGGCTAGCGGTGGCCTCCTTTGGGCCCTGTCGTCCAGACAGTGTGGCACGCCACCTCTCTGCTTGGCAGTTTGGGAAAGGAAAAGCCCTTTGGGACTCAGAATTGACAATAAAACAGGGAATGTCTACCTAAAGTATAAAGGATTCTAGGTTTTAAAAAGAAGCTAGTTGATTATTTGAGGTAGAAGAGGTTAACAGCACTGGGTCAGTTCTGTGCCGTGTTTATACCAAGGAAGTACCTGTCACTGGCAGTATTGGGGCTTAAATTGTCCGCCCAGGCCCCAGGGATGGGTGGTGACAACATGGGCCCACTTGGCTCTGTGAACTCAGGATGTGTATTGCAAGGCTTCCTGCAGGGATCAGGGAGGGAGTCCTTGGTTGCGGAGAGAAGCAGAAAATGTGAGTTCGGACATTTGGGAGTCCCCTGGGAATCTTGGCCTCAGTAGAGTGATTGCTACCTCTCTCTGCTCCATGGCCCTGGTGGGGGGGGCTGATGGTGGGTTCCTTTTGCCCAGCTAGGCAACTGCTCAAGGATGTGACCCTGCCCCTCAGCCCTGACTTCCCTGAGTTTTTTAAAAAGGCATAGGCCTGTTGTAAGTAGCTTAGGACTCACCTTGGGGTTTGGCTCACCCTGATGATAACGTTGCAGTGGACACAAATGTTTGAGACTCCTTATGTGCTAAGATTGGGGCTCGGGGTGGAAAGAGCAGCAAACATAGGGACACTCTTCTGGGTGACAGGCTGACAAACTGGCAGGTAGACCTGAGAGGCGAGGGCCAAGGAGCTCTTGCCACAATATGGTGACCAGGAAAACCAGGAGACCCTGGAACCTTCAGGACTGACCTTGAAGTCCTCCTCTTGGGGACTGACTCCTCCTCCCTCACCAGTATGTAGGGGGTAGGTCAGTAAGTTCTTCGGGCTTACTTCTAGTTAACATAGAACTTTTGCCAGTGGACTCTGAATTTGTCCCCATGCTACACAAACAGAGCACCACGTGCGTGCATTGGTGACACGTTGGTGTCATAAGCGCAACCTGCCAATGCTTTTCCTCCTCTCTGCCATCAGCCACATCCGCGTCTATCTGCCTCCACTTGACTCTGGCACTCCCAACACCTACTGCTCCAAGACTCTGGAATTCCAAGCCCCGCTGGTGTTCAATGAAGTGTTCAGAATCCCTGTGCATTCCAGCATGTTGACATTAAAGTCACTTCAGTTATATGTGTGTTCTGTGAATCCGCAGATGCAGGAAGAATTGCTGGTATGGTACCCCGGCTCACGCTTGCTGCCGCCTCCCTCCTTTGTGTTTGTCCTCCCTTCACTTCCCTCTCCTCCTCCTCCTCCTATTCTCTTCTCCTCTCCTCTTTTTTCCTCTCTCTTCTTGTTCTTTTCCTTCCCCGTCTCTTTCTTTTCTTTCTCTTTGCCTTTTATTCCTCTGACATTCTTTTTTTCTTAGTTTTTGTCTCTTTCTGCCTTCCCCCTGCTTAGAAACGGTCCTACGGTTAAGTGGTTTCTATAGCTGGGAGGGCACAAAGGAATAAAGAGCCAATACTCTTCCCAGGTGTTTTGTAGTTTCAGTGTCTTATCTCAGCTAGTACTTGCAAAACCTCAGTGAGATAACTTTCATCTTGTCCCCATTGTCCACTGAGGTTTTATTTAGTGAATAAAAATACAGGTGATCAGTTAAATATGAATGTCATTTTTAGAATAAGTGCATCCCGTGCTGTGTTTGCCACTCATGTATTATGTACCTGGATGCCCTGCATTTTATCTAGCAGCCTAGGCTTAGGTCTGTAGAGAAGAGAGGCAGTGGTCAGTCTTCAGCGCCCAGCTGTCCAAGGCCAGGAAGGACTTGGCATTCAGGAGAGTAGGGAGCATAGAGTTTAGCCAGTCCTTTCTCAGGTTCAGAAGTTCCTGAATGAATCAGTGGCTCATCAAGGGGCTGGGGATTTAGCTCAGCGGCAAAGCGCCTGCCTGGCAAGCGCAAGGTCGTGAGTTCGGTTCCTGGTACCGGAGAAAAACCAAAAAAACAAAAAAAAAAAAAAAAAAAAAAAAAGGGACAAAGCCGCGAGCTGCACCTCGTACCCCAAGTTGTCATTCTCTTCCCTTTTCCTTCCCCAGCATTTTCTGATTGGGCAAAACAAGCAACCAGGGAGCCGTTCTTCCTCTCTTAGCTTCCTCTAGGATGGCCAAAGGATGGGCTTCAAGGAGACCCTTAAGTTAGCTCCCCACAGGATGTGCTCTTCAGCTCTTTTCACAAAAAATCATCGCAGGGTGCATGAGTGAAAGGCATAATCAGGTGTATTAGGCAAGCAAGAGCTACCATATGGTCTGGATTTGGGGTGTGTATATGGTCTTGGAGGTACCTTTTGGATGGATGATCTAAGATGTTTTGTACCTTATCAACTAGGTTAACTCATGAACTGTAGCATCTTTAGAGCATTTGCACATGATGGGTCTGGAAGAAACCAGCCAACCTAGAAGGCAGAAGCAAGTGCAGGGAGTACCTGTGTGGGTCACCTTGAGTGGCTTTGATCCTGCTCAGAGCTCTAGTTTCTGAGTCTTCCCTACCTATCTTCCATTCTTCCATCCTACGTCAGGGCACTTCTGTTGCACTGCAGTCCTTCTAATAGGAGTGAAATAGTTATGTCTTAAGATTAAAGAATAAACTTGATATTTTACAAGACTGCAGTTGTTAAGCTGAAATCATTCAATGCTTGTTCTGACTTTTCTTTTTAACTCCTGTGCAGGGCATTGCTCAGATAAACTTGGCTGACTACGACAGTTTAAGCGACATGCAACTGCGCTGGTACCCAGTGCAGGTCTTTGCCAGCTCCGAGCCACCCAGGACAAAGGAGAACGGGCGTTCAGGGGACAGCGCCACCTGGGACCCTGTGCATGTCAGCTCTGGGAAGACGGTACTAGTTTACAGAGCCAATATTTTGTAGCTGCTTTTGTGACTTTGAAACTGGCTTTTACTTGGGAAACCATTTCTAAGGTTCACGTAGATGTAAAGTCAGAAGACAGTACCAATGAAGACGTAGTGTTTCAGAGGAAGGAATAAAAATGTCCATATGTATGGCCATTTCATGACAATGCTTTTTTTCTGTAGTACTGGGGATCGAGCCTATGGCCTCATACGTGCTAGGCAAATATTCTAGTACTGAGCTACATCTGCAACCCTTTTAAATTTTATTTTGAGACAAGGTCTCACTAAGTTGCCTAGGCTAGCCAACTGGCAATCCTCCTGCCTCAGCTTCTGGACTAACTAGGATTACAGACATGTACCACTATGCCTAGCTTGATAATGCTTTTTATATTTCATTTTTTTTTAGTGGAAAAAAGTAAAACAAAATTTCATAACAAGCTAATAGGAGGATAATGCTTTTTAATGCATATGTGTTGGCAAGTTGATTTTCTCTAAGTTTGCACCCTCAGAACTCTATGAAAAGACGTAAAGGGCTGGCTGTGCAGGCAGCCTGGCTTCTGCCACTGCCGGAGCATGGAGGCCAGAGTCCACTGCAGGACTGATGCTTGCTGTGGCGTGCATACATTGCCTGCCACCTGCTTTGCACCCTGAGCCGGAGGGCTGTGCTGGTTCTCAGAAGCGCCCCTTTCTGCTACAGGACGCAGTGACGGCACTGCTGGCCAGAACCACCGCCCAGCTGCAGGCAGTGGAGAGAGAGCTTGCTGAGGAGCGTGTGAAGCTGGAGTGCACCGAGGAGGGCATCCTGGAGATGGAGCGGAAGGAAGAGCAGGCCGAGGTCGTGTCCGAGAGGTGAGTGCTCGGCCCAGTGAAGAGCTCAAAGTGCTTCTACCACATCTGGATTATGAAGCTGCTTTCCTTTTCCTTTTTTTGTGGCCCTGGGGATTGACCCAGGGCCTTCACAGTGAGCTATATCTCTAGTCAATGTTTTATTTTATTTTTAATTTTGAGACAGGGTTTTACCAAGTTGCCCAGGCTGACCTTGAACTTACGATTCTCCTGTGTCAGCTTCCCAGAGTGCTGAGTTCAGAGTGTTGGGTTTACAGGTGTGCACTACCATGCCCAGCTGAGGCCATGTTTCTTGGGATGAGGCCGTCCAGTGGGAGTGTCGGTCAGCACCGTCTCTCTTGGCAGGAGCTGTGTCTTTTTCAGCCATGCCTCTGGAGACTCTGCTTTTTGGTAGCATCACTCAGGAGCTGGGGCTCTGGGGCAAATGTCATGCTGCCCTGAATGGCAATGATGCCTGAGCTTGCTGCTTGAAGGCCCGGGGAAGACTTTTACCCCTTTGTTTTGTTTCTGGAAGTTCTCTTCAAGAGTGGGGCTGTTGAGTGACTCCTTCCAACAAGGATGGAAAGCAAAACGGTCCTTTTAAATTGTTTTCTCAAATTATTTTTTTAAAACATAGTCGTCCTTATTCATTTATATTCTGATCTATACATAAGGAATAAAAATGGAATTATAGCTAAGCAGTGATGAGAAATTTGTGCTAAATAGCATCACACATGCTTTCACTCTTGGACCACGTAGACATATGTAATTAGAAATAACCCACTTTCTCAAAGCAGCCTGGTAACCAGTCTCAACATAGTACTTCAAAGCATTTCTACCAGACAGATTTAGTGTTTGAGATTTCAGGGCGAGTTCATCTTGTTTAACCCTATTTTCACTTTGCATAAAATCCCTGTTTATATATCTATGCTTTAAGGTTTATCTACACATAGTTCTTTCTAAAACTCTTTTTGTGGGGAGCAACTTTTCCCTTTCCCATGCTATTCTTCGTGGTATCTACATATTAAACAAATTTTGTAACAATGTGGATGAAAACATTTAACATTTAATCATTTTGTTTTTAATTCTACCATCTGCAGGGAAGTAATAGCTCAGAGGTTAAGAATATGGACTCTGAGCCGGGCATTGTGGCACATGCCTATAATCCCAATGCTCTGGAAGCCTGAGGCAGGAGAATCAAAAGTTTGAGCCCAGCTTGGGCAACTTAGCGATTTAGCAAGACCCTATCTCAAAGTTTAAAAAATAAAAATAAAAAGGGGCTGGGGATGTCCCTCAGTGTGAAGACCCTGGAATTCAATCCCCAGTACCCAAAAAAACAAAAAATACGGGCTCAGAAGGCAGGTGGCCTTGGTTCAAATCCAGGCTCTGCCATTTATCAATAATGTAGCCTTTCCTGGTTTCTCCATCTGTTAAAAAAAAAAAAAAAAGAAAAAACAGCAATGGGCCCTAACTCTTGGTGTTGCTGCAATTGGATAACACATGCCAAGCACTTAGCATGGTGCGTGCTGCACAGAAACACAGACCCTCCTAATAAAAGGCCTTGAAGTGTCATCTTCCCTGGAAAGCAGAAATACCCTTGTACTTTATGACAACAGCAACTGCCTTCAGTTATTGGAAAGGAACAGGTTTCATCTGGTGCTTCTGCTGCTGAGCTCCAAAAGCAACATGAAAGAAATCCCTCTGAGGAACATTCTGTGAGCTTTTGCATTGTCACCTTTAGGAGCTGGCAAGCTGACTCTGTTGATAGTGGCTGTAGCAACTGTACCCAGACCAGCCCCCCATACCCAGTAGAGCCCTGTTGTGTCACTGTCAACTCCATTCATGGACACACATTTGCTGGACAGACAGATCCCTACAGCTCTGAGAAACGTCAGCCCCTGCCTAGTAAGGTAAGCAGAAAACATCCGGGGATTCCATAGAGTCCCTCAACATTTGAACGGAGAGTACCAGGTGCAGCCCTGGAAGGAGGGGGTGTGTGCTCCCCCGTCATGGTAAGGGGAGAGAGTGGGTGGAGGAGCACCACTTAAGGGAATGAACAGGAGTGGCTGGGCTCCCAGGCGGGGAGGAGAGTATGCTGCGGCCCACTAACCCACCGGCTGTGAGGTGTTGTGGAAACGCTGAAGCCATGGTAGAAAGTGGACAGTGCTCCCGGATTGGGGGCAGTAGCTAAGCTGAGACTTACGGTACTGAAAGCTGAAGGAGAGGAGTATGTGGCTGAAGATCTGTAAAGGGTGACCAGGGTGCAGCAGGAATGTTTCTCAGGATGGAAAGGGCAGCTACAACTGAAGAAGGTCGGCCTTGACTCTTTTGTATGCCATTTTGTGGTAGCCCTTTCCTGTCTTCAGGGACAGATAAGTGTCAGGCAGTCTCCTTACTCCCAGAGGTTTTGCATGTTTCTCCCGACTCTTCTACATTTCTGACGTGAAGAGCAGCACACTTTTGCCCCCTGTGACCATCTCATCTGTCATGTCCGGTTGATGCTATATCAGTGCCCTCCTGAAATGCGATCGCCCACAGTATTCATTTTCTGATCACGGCCCCTGCCCTCATGAGGCTGAAACACTGGGCGCAGTCACTGCCACAGGCCTGGAACAGCTGCTTTAGTCTTTGCTGACAGTAAATTGCTGCTGTTCTACCTTTGCAACCTTTCAAAGCAGCAGCCCAAATCATGGTTTGTGGCCATTGGCGGCTAGGTTCGTGTTTTCCCTCTTCTCCAACTTTTAATTTCTAAAACCTTCAAATTTATGGAAAAGTTGCTGGAATAATGCAACACATGCCTGTATGTCCATCACCCAGGTCCCCTGATTGTTAGTTCTTCCCATGCTTGTGTTCCCTTCTTCCATGTGGATCCACATAGGTGCTAGGCCTCCTAGGTAAGAGGAAGAAAGTGATCAGAAAGTTCCACCCTCAACGGGCAGGCAGACAAGAGAAAGGAAGAATCAGTAAAGTGCAACTGTATGTTAGATGGTTGAAAGGGCCATTAGAGAGTGAGATGGGAGGGAAGTGGAATTTATGTTTTTAGAAATGTTTGCTATGGAAAACAGCGCGGCAGTGCCTCAGGGCATCTACATCAGAGCTACTCACTATGTGGTCCAGTAATCTCACTTCCAGGTGTGCATCCAGAAGAGCTGAAAGCAGGATACCAAAGGGATAGTTGCACAGCCATGTCTGTAGCAGCATTTTTCTCAGTAGCCAAAGGGAGAAAACACCTGAAATATACCCCTGTGGATGAGTGGGTAACCAAAATGTGGTCTATGCAGAGAGTAGAATATGATTTGGGTTTGCAAAGAGGGAACTGACACTTGCTGCACCAAGGGTGAACCTTGAAGACATTAAGCTCAGTAGAATAAGCCAGACACAAAAAGACAGCCACACTAGCTCCTATGTATGTGAGGGGAGTTGTCTCCAGGATTCCCCCAGATACCCAGAGCTGCAGCTGTTCAAGTCCCTTACATAACACGGCATAGTAGATCCCATTTTGCACGTCCTTCGGTCCGTATGTTTTCAATAATCTCTGGATGACTTATGACACCTAACACAATGCAAGTGCTATGAAAAAGTGTGGGTTATACTGTATTGTTTAGAAAATAATAGAAATATTTAGAAATAGATATATTTAGCACCAGATACAGCCGGCACAGGCATGGCTATGCACTACATGAACAAGATGTAAAATGAACAGTGCTCTAGCAACAAGTGCTGGGTAAAGACGGAGCACCTGCAAGATATGAGGAAGCTCTGGCAGGGTACACCTGCACATCCCTTCTTTCCTGTGTATTCAGTGTGGTGTAGCACAGCATATTCAAGTGTTGCTCTTTGGCACTTTCTGGAATTTTTTGTTCACATATTTCTAAACTATGGTTGCTTGAACCCATGGATGAAGAACCTGGAGATATAGACAGTCAACTACACTGTACAATTCCACTTATATTAGGCACCTGGGATAGTCAAACTCATGGAGACAGGAGTAGAGTGGTAGTTGCCAGGGGTTGAGGAGGGTCATTGTTTAAGGGGGACAGAGTTTTAATTTTAGAAGATGAAGTTCTAGCAATCTGTCACATAATAATGTGATATACTAAACACTACTGAACTGTAGCCTTAAAACTGGTTAAGATGGCAAATATTGTGTTACGTGTTTTTTTTTTTAAACACATTTTAAAAAGAAAGTAAGCTCATGGAAACCAAGAGCCGAGGAGGGAACAGAGGCGTTGGAGCGGGGTGGGTACAGGGTCTTCCAAATAGAGGGCACAAAGAGAAAGGATCAAATGGTGCAAAGCTCACCTAGGACCCTGTTTTTTTCTGAGAGGACTGGGATACTGGTGGCTGGATTTTTGAGCCAAGAGGTGAGATGGTTTATTAGTTTTTTCAAAAATAATTTACCAAGATGATACTCAACTGACCGATCCATTTTAAAGTGAGTAATTCAGTGGCATGGAGTACATTCAGGTTGTATAGCCACCACTTCTATCCATAACGTTTTCATCACTCCAAATAAAAAACCCATAGCTATGAAGCAGGCCCTCTCCATTTCCCTGTGCAGCCCAAACCCTGGTGACCACCAAAAAGCTACTTTGTATTTTGGAGGATTTGCCCATTCTACATGTGTCATGTACATGGGCTTATGTAATATGTGGCCTGTTGTGTCCGGCTTTTTCACTCAGCATCGTGCATTTGTGATCGACTCACAGTGTAGCAAGTGTCACAACTTCGTTTCGGCCCTCTGAATAATGCTGCTCCAAACATTCATGTACATGCATGTGTTTGAAGGCCTGTTTTTACTTCTTGTGAGCATCTGCCTATGAGTGGACTTGAGGGCCTGGCTTTGGCCCTCTCTGGCTGCTGTATTGAGAACAAGTTGTAGGGGCACCAAGGTGTACATTCAGAAAGACCGAGAAGAGGAGAAGCCCACTGCACTAATCTGGGCACTGGATGATGATGCAGGTGAAGGGCTGGTGACAAGTAGTCACAACCCATTTAATATTGAACAGACCCATCAGAATTTTCCCTAGGGCCAGGTAGGGGGTATGTGAAAGAGAACAGAGTCTAGGATGCCACTAGGATATTTTCCCCATGAACAAATAGAAAACAGAAATCCTTGTCAAAAGCTCTTCGTCAGATAAGGGTAGTTTCAGCCGTTCAGTCCTGGATGCCTCAGGTGTAACACACAAGCCAGACCAGCAAGTGGAGGAGAGAGACAGTGTCCATACTAAATTTGCGGCTTATGTTCTGGAGGAAATTGTGGTAATAAATGAACTACTCTCTAGGTTGACAAGGAAACCAACACAGAAGATCTCTTCCCAGAAGAAGCAGCAAGCATCCTGAAGGAGCGACCCGGTCGCCGCGCCCGGGGTTCGCCTTTTGTTCGTAGTAGCACTATCGTCCGTTCTCAGACGTTCTCACCTGGAGCGCGAAGCCAGTATGTTTGCAGAGTGAGTATGAATTCCTTGGCCGCTTGTGTGGAACATTCCCTTTTTTTGTTCTCTGCCATGTTTTCATTTTTACTATGCATGCTAAAGTATACACATAGTCTAACAATTCATATGAGTTGATAAGTGAATACCACACGCATGTGGAGATGAAATCAGCATTGGGTTGCCATCTCCCCAGCCTCATCCTGCTCTTGTCTAACTGTGGATCTGTTCAGGGCTGCAGTTCATTTCCCCTGGATTTTTGGGTTGTATACATCCCAACTCAGCCAGGAGGCAAGCGGAGCATTTCCACGTGAGGCAAAGGGATAGCAAGTTGAAACTGACTGACTGGAGTTGGGTTGTAATCTGGGAGACCTGGTCTCCCTGCATGGGCAGAAGTCCTGAAGTGTATCCATGTCCCTGGCAACAAGGTGACAGTGACCTTGAAGACTCTAGGTGCTGAGGCCATGGGTTCTGACTCACCCACATCTAAGTTCCTACCCAGCAGGAAAGGTGGGAGATAGTGGTTCTCAGCATTGGCTCCTCCTGGCTACGGAATCACATTGGGACACTTCCCCACATACCAGTGCCCAGGTCCCACCCCTGGAGACTCACAGGTGGGGCACTTGAATCAGAACTCGGAGAGCTCTCAGATGGTTCTGTTACTTACACAGGGGTACAGACCCTCACATAGTTGGGAGAGACAGCTGAGATAGCATGGTCACTGAAGATAGAACAGTGAATTGGTGGTCAGTGTGCAGTAGCAGTGTGACGTTGACAGCATGGAGCTGGAGCTGCAGGAAGCAGTTTTTAAGAAACAAGGCTCTTTTCTAGAAAGCTATTTTTCCCAGCTCTGGCCAAAGAAGAAATACAGCAAATGCATGTGAGTGACAGAGTGAAATGCTGAGCACAAACGCGGCCTTTCATGAGCCAGGCTGTAGTCGTTATCCACTGGGTAGAAATGTTACTGACTCCCTTAGTCCGGAGGCTTCCTGTGGTCCTGCTGATAGACATGAAAGAGGATCAGGGTGTTGGTGGCTTTGCTTTGTTTTGGTTTTGTCTTTCATTTTCCCTTGAAATTCCCATTTTAACTGAAATCTAAAGACCTCGTAGTAGCACCAGAAGTCCTAAGTGTGTTTGAGTGTCTGTGAGGAGAAACGAAATAATCCCATTTAGAATACACAGAAAGAATAGCAAATTTCTGATCAATTGTTTCTGAACATCATTCTTTCTGATGCAGCTTTATCGTAGTGACAGTGACAGTTCTACACTGCCCCGGAAGTCTCCCTTTGTCCGAAATACTCTGGAAAGACGAACCCTTCGCTATAAACAGGTGTGTGCCGTATAAACTAATATAGAATGTATAGCTGCTGTGGGAGTTATTTTATAACCCATATAAAGTACTATTTTAGAAAATATGGTAGTATTTTTCATTTCCTTGTTTTTCATACATAATTTTGAAAGCATATATATTATAATGTTGTCAATCTTAAGATTGTATGATTTCACATAATTTGCGATCTTTATATTGTCAGCTGTTGAAAGGAATGAGCAGTACTTTCTATGTAATAGGTACTTCTTTTTTACAAGAGAATGTATTTATTTTATATATATAGTTGAGAAAATTTGAGTTTTTCAACATACAGTGTTCTTCTGCATAGGACTGTTCCATGGTTTTGATTTTCTTTGCTCTCCAGGGTCTTCACATCATGCCAGTTTATAAAGTTTGGTGACTTTAGTTTGTAAGGCAGTAGGTCCTGGTCTTTTCTGGCAAGGATCTTTTGGAATATGTACATTTTAAAATCTCAGATTTCCTTGTAGGCATTGTACTGGGAGTAGCTGCTGACTGAGAATTATAAGAAAGGACATTATTCAGCTATAAACCTTTTTCAACAGCAACATTGTGGACATTTTAGGAGAGATCCTTCTTTGCTCTGAGGGCTGCATTATGTGCTGTAGGATGTTCAGCAGCATCCCTGATCTCACCCCACTGGTTGCTGGTGTCATCCACCCACACACGAGTTGTGACAACCCAAAATATCCCCAAATATGGTCAAATTGAACATTGGAGGCCAGATTGCCCTTGAGTGCAATCCACCAATCTCTGAGTGAAATCCACCTGGCTTCTCAAATCTCTGCTATGAATTTATTAGGGATTTTAAATGAATTTTTAGTTATTAAATTAAAATTTATATTTGCATTTAAATTACATGTATGTGCAAAATGGCATTTTGTGTGTTTGTATAAAATCATGCATTCAACCCATCAAGCAAGGGTGATCTGCCAGTAGATTCATCATTTTGCTACAGTAGTACATCTAGGGTTCTTGTTCCCATTTTTCTAGCCCCATGAACAAGGGGCTTCTCTTAGGGCTTTTTAGAACATAGCGTAATTACTCCTTGAGGCTTATTTAGGAAGGAAAGTTTGTGATAGCCTCATGTGCGCATATGCGCACACAGGCATGGGTGTGTGTGAAGATTTTTTACACAGAAATCACTGATGTGTTTGTAACATGCTCCCCTCTTGCACCATGAGTTATTAAGATTTTTCCGTGTCAGTATATTTTTTCAACTTTCATAATGGCTGTATTTTATGCTGACCTTGTTGTAATTTATTTAATCAGTTTCCTGCTGTTATATATTTAGGATTTTTCTTCTGCCATAAACTTTAATTGGACAACTTTTGTATGTTGGCAGTTGTACCTTTCATATGCAGGTCCAAAGAACATCTCAGAACCAAAGAAAATGCATATTTTCCATTTTAGAAATATATTTTTGAATGACACGTCTTAAAGATTGTGCTTAGTTTTCATCCTGCCAGCTCTGTAAAAGAAGACCTGTTGTGCCATACTTTTGCAAATACGTAGGTCATCATTAAAGAAAGCAAGTTATGGTTACTAACTTTGATATTCAACTAGAGATTTAACGGTGCCCAAATCTATGTATTTTTAAGCATGAGCCATGCTTAGGGAAATACCTGTGCCACACCAGTCTCCTCTTTATTATGGAAGAATTTTGCAGAAGGCCAGGCACATGGGCTGGCCCAGGCTGGCATGCGCATTCACGGCTTCTGTCTCTACAGTCCTGCAGGTCCTCCCTGGCCGAGCTCATGGCCCGCACCTCCCTGGACCTGGAGCTGGATCTCCAGGCATCAAGAACACGGCAGAGGCAGCTGAATGAGGAGATCTGTGCCCTCCGTGAGCTGAGGCAGCGTTTGGAAGATGCCCAGCTCCGAGGCCAGACCGACCTCCCGCACTGGGTGCTTCGGGATGAGCGATTCCGCAGCCTACTGAAGGAAGCAGAGAAGCAGGTGAAAGTTGGGGCCTGCAGCTCTGCCTGCCAATGGGCACTACCCTGTACTCCAGCTGCGCCTGGCTTGGGAAGTGCACCTCCCCATGATGACATGGGAATTGAAGTGTTCCAGGCATTTGGCTGATGGAGCCAGACCTCCCTCTCTGGCTTGGTCCCAGAGGGTGGTATTGATGGCGGTACCAGCATACGCCTGGGGGATCTGGGTGCTAGAGGAGTCCTAGGCCCTTCCTACCCTGTGGAGGGCATGTCCTGGGGCCCAGGTCAGCCAGACCTGACTCCAGCCATCCCCAGTGACACCTGTGAAGAATTCCCCAGAGGAAGTGGATGAGGATGGCCTTTCTCACTCTGTGGCTGGTGTTGGTTCTTCTGGGCTCCGGGGCTGGGAGTGGACTCGTTTGTTCTTCCTTTAGAAAGCATGGCAACGAAAACATCTTGCTCATCAGATGTTTGTGTTCCAGACAAGACAGACCAAACTTGACTACCATCAAGAGCAAGCAGCTGAGAAGATGCTAAAGAAGGCCTCCAAAGAGATCTACCAGCTGCGTGGGCAAAACCACAAAGAACCCATCCAAGTGCAGACCTTTAGGTATGGGAGAGTGGGACACTGTGCCCAGTGGGCTTGTTGCTGCTTTCCTGTTATTAGTATATGTTTCTGATACATAATTCCATTCATTTTGGGGAATTAGTGCATGTACTTACTGCATCTCGATCATCTTTACTCCCCTATCCCTTCTCCCCATTTTCCCGGTCGCTGCTTTTTTTTACTGTTACAAAAAGCAAAGCAAGTCTTCAAAAACACTGGAATCCACTGCAAGTGGCATTCCTGTTGCTAGTAGCATTTTGATGTTTGCTTCCGATCTTTCTTCCTATGCACGTTTTTTAATGCCACTTGTAATCATAATATGGAGTCAATTTTTAAAAAGTAACATATCATACATCTAGCTTCTTTGATTTATAATGTTTTTAAAGTTCATCCACATGGTAGATACTTTTATTCCTGAATAATACTTCTTTGACTTTTAGCCGAAATTATTGCATACCCTTGATATTCATATCCCCATGATGAACTAGCATGAAATACTATAATGTCCTTTGCTTATGATTTAGAACTCATTCATCCATACAGGTTTTCTTTTCTCATTCACATAAAAATAGAACAAATATTTCCTGGGCACTCACTATATACCAGCTACTGTTTTGAGCAATGGAAATTAATAAACCCCTGCTATCCTTGCACTTCTATAAAACTCAGGGACTCTGTATACAATCGGTGCGTAGGTGGCTCAGTGGTAGAAATCTCTCTAGAGACTCTGTATACAAACACATGTGTTATTGGTAACTTAAATTTATTTTGTTCCGTGAGCAAGCAGAAACATCGTTGTCATAAGAGCCTCCAGTCGGCTTTCAGTATGTTCAGATGAGCTTCTAACCTGTAATTCTTTCTAATTCTAGGGAGAAGATAGCATTTTTTACAAGACCAAGGATTAACATACCTCCTCTCCCAGCCGACGACGTTTGATGTAGTGCGTTGTGCACATGAAGTATTTATCTGCCTGTTTTATTTTCATGAAGTTCTTAGATTAGCTAAATTTGTCTTTTAAAATATTTGTGCAAAGCTATTAATATACACATTTTGTAAAGAAACATATATCTATACATATATATTTTATAATAGTGACGGCAACAGGGCTTGGTTTTTCCTTGTTGTGAAATCGACATCTCTGAAGACAGGTTATTTTATAAAAGATCAACTATCATGTTAAGAGTGTACAGTTTTTACGCTGTTTTATTTGACTTAAAGGCTGGAAGACAGAAACGAAGTGAGTTCAGGCAAATTCACTGTATTGTAATTTATTTATAGTACTTTTTTTCCTTGAAGGAAAATACTGACTTTAAGATGTATTTTAAGACTGAAATTTTGTTCTTCAGTATTGTCATGGAGTAGAATGGGACTTGGGGCCGGTTTTGTTTCTGCCACCTGAAACGCAAACACTATGTACTAAATTTGTCACTTGTATCCGTTTCTCATAGGCTTGTGCCATGTGTATTGTACACTCTTGCTCTCTTTGTGTCATGTTAACACATCAGCTGCAGTGGTTCAGTCCTGATTTATAAACCGTGTGTGCGGTGTTGGGCGCAGTGTCCCGTGTGTACTGGGCACTGATTGCTCTTCATTGCTGTGTTGTCGTCTGATGCATCTTTTTGTGTTCCCACAAGTCTGAAGCCGGTGACAGAGCCTCCGGCGTCCCAGGTTTCAACCTGCCTGTCCACGGTGGCTGTCCACACTGCTTGCACTGGTCAGATCGAGTGCACCCCCAACTCTCGCACTCACTCTCCATCTCATCCTAAGGGAAGAGGTGCGGATAGGCTCCTGCTTCCGGAAGGAAAGTATGAGGGAGCTTAGCGTGCACACTTGCAGTGTAGCCGAGGGTAAAGACAGCGTCACAGTATAGACATAACCTTGGAAGGTGCTTTTTTTTTGTGGAGAGAAGGACATGCGGGTACCTCGAGTTACCCAATGAGTCATTTATAGGAGAGTGTTTGAATTCAATCAGAACGCCCCCCCCATATTGGAGTCTACCCAGTGTTCTTCACCAAATCGTAGAACTAGCTCATGAGGGAAAAAATTAATGTAATGAAATATGCCATTCTTTTAAATGCCAAGTGATAGAAATCGTTTGCCTCATACATATTTTTTATATGTGAAATGCACTCTCCTTTCTGAGACCTTGGAGGAGTGAATGAGGTAGTCACAGGAAATGTCAAAGAAAACAGAACATTCTTTTCCTAGATCTTTCTTCCCCTCCCCTAGAAATGTCCCTTTTAATCAGGTGTCTCTTCTCATTGATCTGTAACACCCTCCCTCCCCATATAACCCACTTTCCTTTTTACATTTATTAAAAATGAATTTTGTAAAAGCATTTCATTGACATGCGACCAATCACGGACAAAGGAATTTGTTAGTGGTGGTAAGACTGAAAACTTTATGCTTTTCATGGATGTCATCTCTTGTTATGTATTCCTGCTTCTAGTCTTGCTTTTTTGCCTTTTTTTTTTTTTTTTTTTTTTGCCAATTCCTTTTTGTACCAGCCCATGACAGAGGTAGAGCCCCAGAGCATCAGTTCTTTAGGAGAGCTGCCAGTCTGCAGACAACAGTGCTGAGCAGGCCCTCTCTCTGTGCCCCTAAGCTGTTGAGAGCTTAAACTCTAACAAGAGCCATCTGCTGCTAGATGCTGGGGTGTGTGCAGGCCAGAGTGTTCAAGTCTCACGTACACGGCTCCCTAGATGTGGGACCGTGCCCTGGACGCAGGAACTCTGTACCACTTTTAGCAACTGCCCTAAGTAGCTCTCTGTAAGTGAGTTGGTGGGTTGAGACAACATTTTTGCTAACCCCATTAAGTTTTAAACCCATTGGGCCAATAGCAAAAGCCCCCTGACAAGAGCTTTCCACTGTCACTGCCCGGGTTATGCAGATGTCCAGGTGGACACCTCCAAGATTTTTGTTTTTTAAAGAATCTCACATTTGCCCTGAAAAAAAACAGCTGCAGCCCCTGCTGTGCTGTCAGTCCAAGGAACACCTGTGTCTGCCATCTTTCTATGTCACCTCTCCCTGCCACCCCACCTGTGACTGCTTTTGCAGATGAATGGAACTCTAGCAAGGAAAGCAAATGCAGACCAGTGAGAGAGGACAAGGGAGCGATTCTGTGCCATGCACGGCATGGGAGGAATGCTGCCCAAGCAAGCAGGAGGACACAAAGCACCCTCCTTCGCTTCTCATTCCTGACTTGGTGACTGCCAGCTAGTTAAAACTGCCACACCCAGAAAACAGCACATGTCTGCTTAAGGGGCATTTTCATCTGCTGTTAAAATTTGTGCATATGTGGGGCCTTGCAAGAAAGGAAACTCTGCCATGTTTTAGGAGCAGTTCTGGTCCAGAAATGATCAGAATTCTGCCACCTGGGTTTTTAAAAACAGCACCATGTGTAAAAGGGAATTTGGTTTTTACTTTTATCTAATCACTGTATTGTCAGGCTTTGATTGATAATTGCTGAAATAAGTAACCTTCTTTTGTGGGAATAAGTTATAATCAGTACTCATCTCTGTTTTTGTCACTGTTTTCTCTGATTGTGTCATTTGTATTGTTTGAAAATATTTCTTCTATGAAATTAAACTAACGCCTTAAAAACAAAGTGAAAAACGTGTGTGTGTGTTTTTAAAGAAACCTTACAATTATGGGGACTTAAATGTATAAAAATGGGCTGGGTTGTAGCTCAGTGTAGAGTGTGTGAATGCATGAATGATACCCTGGGTTCCATCCCCAACACAAATAAATAAGTAAATAAGTAAATAATCATATTTTAAAGCATAAAAAGAGGTATATGATCAGAGATAGTAAAATGGGTATGTGTACAGCCCTCACCTGACTTCAGCATGGGTCAGTCATGGCTGATTTTATTTTGTCTACACCTTCACCCATGACCCCCTCTTGTGATTTGAAGTACATCCCACACACTGTATCATTTCATCTATAAGTATTTCAGTATGTACTGCTAAATTGGGAAAAATCCCACATGTCAGTATCCTTCTATTTTAGCATCTATTCCTGCTTTTTTTTATTTTTTTCAGGTACTGGGAATCAAATTCACGACCTTGGCTTGCCAGGCAGGCGCTGTGCCGCTGAGCTAAACCCCCAACCCCTTTAGCATCTATTCCTTAATGTTACTAAATATTCCAAAGTTCACTTTCCCATTTGTCTGTCATTCTTTTAACTCCAAAAATCCAAATTCAACTCACTTATTATGATTTTTTAATGTCTGGGTTTTGTTGGTAAAGACTTTCTTAAAATATAGTTCATATACCATACAATTTAACTGTTTAAAGCATATAATTCAGCAATTTTAATATATTCATAGTTGTACAAATATCACCATAATAATTTTAGTACATCTTCATCACCTAAGAAAAACTCCCAAGCTGTCACTCCTCATTTCTATGTGTTTTTGTATGGATTTTCCCATTCAGACCTCTTTAATAGACGGAATCATAACAGTAGACTTTGGACAATGCTTTCAATGCTTTGGATAATACATTTGTGTAGATATATTTTTATTTTTCGTGGGTGTACACATATACCTAGGACTGGAATTGCTGGGTTGTATGGTAACTCCATATTTAGCCTTTTGAGGAACTGCCAGACAGTTTTCCAAAGCAGCCACACCATTTTGGATTCCCACCAGCAGTGTACCAGGATTTCACTTTCGCCATAGCCCGACCAGCACTTGTTATGTCATTTTGATTGTAGCAGTCCTAGTAGATGGAACGTTCTTTCTCAGAGTTGTGTCTGGTTTTCAGCCCACTGGATTGGACACACATGAAATTTGTTGAACAGGTTACATGTCCTATGAATCTCCAGTTTCTGGACCGAGCTGATTGTATCCCTATGAACATGTTCCCTAGAACATACCTATAATATGGTAGTTGGATCTAAAGGTTTGAACACAATGCAGTTTATATATTTTCTTTTCTGGTGGGACTGGGTGGCAAGACCTCCAAATACCATCTACTGGGTGACTTATAGGAGCCTATAGTATTATTGCAATATCAGCAGCTATTGATAATGTCTAGACCCACTGGTTCCCTAAGAGCTGCAAAAGAATTATACTTTAATCCTATGATTTGTTGCTAGTTACTGATTGATACAACCTTATAAAAAGAAACTTCCTGATCTACTTGGTTATGAATTACTTTGCTACCATTGTGCAGTGGTGGCCACTTTAGTTTTAATTTTTGAGATTTTCTTTGTAATATCAGCACATGAATCTAGCATGTTGATGGTTCCTTAATCCACTGGAGTTGCTTTTGTTGATGCTCTGATTCACTTGTCTTTGGCTAGGGAAGCCTCTCCTGGGTGACTCCTGGGCCCTTTTGTTATGTATGACTCCAGTGGTTTGAGATGGCTTCCTTGCCATCTTGCATGGCCAGGTATTTCTGATCTAGAATTGGTCATTTTCCTAGGGTGTCTTGGTTACTTTTCTCTCGTTGCTGAGAGAAAATACCTGATGCGCAGAATTAAGGAAGGAAAGGTTTGTTTAGCTCATGGTTTGTGGAGGTTTCAGGCCATAATCAGCTGGCTCCAAGCCAGGGTGGCATGGCACAGGGGTGACACTTCAACGTGGCAGAAGACAGCAAAAGCAACAAGAGCAAAGAGGGGAGTACAAACCTCTTTTCCTCCCTTATAGGGTATGCAGGATACCTACCCTATGACGGGTGTAGCACTGACACCATCTCTGTGCCCTCCTCTTGCACAGGATAAGGATGTTTACACAGTGAGGACCCTGACCCTTTACTGAGTCACTTAGTTAAGCTTCTAAACTTCTCAAGTTGACATAATGTACCAACAGTCACACAGGGTAACTTAGTTTCTTGGTGCCAGGGATCTTGTCACTATCAGGTTAGCCATTATTTTTAGGGCTTGTTAATGGGTGGATAGCTAGGCAGTATTTTAAAAAAATAAAAAAGGCACGGTAGAAATAAAACATCACATCCCCACTCATCGCTTATCCCATATCACATATATACATGTTTCAAATAACAATACCAACAATGCCACCAACAGTATAGTCCCTGGCTACTGACTGAAACTTTTTCTTGCAGTTGCTTTAGTCCTTATGGTGTATTTTACTAGGAAGATGTTGTCAAATTATTATGGCCTGTAAGTGTAGATCAGTGGTGCAGCATGTGCCTAGCATGTGTGAAGCCTTGGATTCAATCTCTAGCACCTCGGTAAATAGTAAAAATTACTATGATATAAGGTAACTGGGGATATTTCTTTTCTGTGTGGTTAAACTATTGGCCTGATACATTTGCATTCCTTTTTATTTGGATTTTTTTAAGGTAGTGGGAATGGAAGCAGGGCCTTCTGCATGCGCAGTAAACCCTGTATCAAGCTACATCCCCAGTCCTTTCAAAATTTATTTTTTTTAGTCAGGGTCTTGTTGAATTACCCAGGCTGGCCTTATACTTATGATCCACCTCTCTCAGCCTCTGAGTAGCTCTTATTATAGGCATGTGCCACTGTGCCAGCTATTGCAGATTTTTATGGATTGGTCTTTCAAATTTTATTTTATAAATGTGTGAAATACAGTGATGGTTCCAAAGACACACAAAGCCAGTTACATTCAAAGGAGCCTAATTTTTATTATTCCTCCTCTACCTTATTCCTTTTCTCTCTTTACAGGTAGCCATGAAAATGTTTCTTTAAAAAAACCTAATTATATGCATACATACACGCATTTATGTGTGTATATATACAAATATTACACATATATACAGGTAAATGTTTATGTACAAATATATACACATCTATATTTTTGTTTCTTCTCTTTCTTGAATAAATGGTGACACAACAAATACACTTTTCACCACTAACTTTTTCACTTAAAAGTGTATCTTAGTGGGGCTGGGAAGAGTGGTTCAGTAGTAGAGACTTGCTTAGCATACCCTGCATGCACACACGTGCACACACGCACACACCCCTCCTAGGGACCACCAAAAATGTGTAGTGGCTGCTGTAACAATTTTCCTCTAACCTCTACTCCCACCCTCACATCACCCACTCTTCTGTTTCTGTCTTCTCTTGTCTCTGATAAGAACACCTGCCACTGGATTTAGGGCCCACCTGGTAAGCCAGGATGATCTCAGCTTGAGATTTTAATTTCATTACCTCTGCAAAGCCTCATTCCAGATAAGGTCACATTCCCAGGTTCCAGGTTGACATATCTTTGGGGCCACCAGAAGCTCACCATTCCACCCCCTACAGTTTTGCCTTCTGCCTCCCCCAAATTTACATCCATCCTCCATGTAAAATACATTCCCCTCATATGTGCATCCCCCAAAGTGATACATGTAGGTATTTTTCATTCCCTTTTACTTTTGCACAATGCATTAGTATATTACTACAGTTTATTCAACAGTCTTTTGGTAGTTTCTAGTCTGCTATTAAAAATGACTCAACACAGCCCTCTGAGAGGCTGAGGCAGAAGAATCACAAATTCAGTCTCAGTCTGGGCAATTTAGCAAGATCTTATCTCTAAAAAGAGGGGTATATCAAAGCCCTAGGTTCAATCCCCACTACCACCACAAACAAGCAAAAGTCTCAACAATGAACATCTTCTGGAGACATCTTTTCCCATTTTTACCAGGATTTCTGTGAGATAGATCCTTAGACTTGAAATCTCTGGGTCAAAGGTTAGTGTGGAATCCTTCTAGGTGTCATTGCACTTCCTTATATGGAGTGTACCATTTTTTATTCTCACCAGTACTGTATGAGACAGTCTCCCCACAGCCTCACCACCAGACCACATTTATGAGTTCTTGCCACTTGCAGAGGTGAGAAATCACAACCCAATCTAAATCAGTACTCTTGGGAGTGAGGCTGCTCCCATCGCAGAGACTGCTGGTAACCTTTAATCTTTGCCAGGGGTGGCTCTGCTTTCTTTCATCTTTTTCAGTGCTTTCCTGACTATTTTTTATTTGTTCTTCCAAGTGAATTTTATAATCAACTTCTCTAGCTCCAGGTAAAAAAAATTAACTCTTAATGGGAACTGCATTAAACTTACAGATTTTGGAGGTTTGGCCTCTTTATGAGGTTGAATCCTCTCATCCAAGAAAATATTATGTATTTCCATTTGGTCAAGACTAATCTTGTGTCTTTGAGGAATGCTTTCCAGTTTTACTCCATGTATATTTTGAGTACTTCTTGCTAGGCTCTTGTCAGTTTTGTTTTCTATCTTTGCATTCGGGACAGAAAGGCATGAGTCCCCTCTTAACCTATCACCACTTAAAGGCCCCACTTCCCAGAGCTGCCACAATGGCAGTCAACCTTCAACATGCATTTTGGAAGGGACAGAGCATTTTGAAACCACAACAGCTAGTATTTGCTTATTAAATAGGATGTCGGCTTTAGGGAGTAACACACACACACACACACACACACACACACACACACACACGATGTTAAGGAAGCATCCATCCATTTCTATTTTCTTGAGTGTTTTTCACATGAATAGGACCTGGATTATTTTCAAATTCCTCTTCCCCATTTACTGAGATGAGCATATGACTTTCCTTCTTAGTTCTAACAAGATTATTGACTATACTGTATTAATGAATTTCCCAACAGAGAACTAAT